ACATTACATACATTACATACATTACATACATTACATACATTACATACATACATACATACATACATACAGACGTATATGCACATATTTTTATATGTATATAAAGCACATTACAATGCACCAAATTCGGAATGTCACCAACTAAGGACGGGGACAGAACCGGACTATTTTAACGGTTGCTATAGCACGTTGCTGGTTTTTCATCTTCGAAAATGATATCCTTCGAGTTGAATCCGAGTTGAATGTGAAATGTCAAGGTCGAATTATATAGGTCCAGGATTTCTGTGTTTTTGCAGGTTTTGATGACAGGGGGATTTTCAATCATGAACCTTGGGGAGTAAGAATTTCTGGTTGAAGGTGCTTCATGAAATTGGGTTTACCACATTGCTTGATAAGGAATGGTCCTTCAATAGCAGATCATGTAGCTGGCGGCTAGAGGTCAAAACTTCATGGAAGGTTTGGGGCTCACAATTTTAGGGCATCGACTTCTTTTTGACTACGCGAAGTTGGGGACACTGTTGAATCTAATTTGGTAATGGACACATCTCCATTGGTACATGATCTCTTGCGAAGAGGAAGGGGACTTTCTCGTCGCTGTCAGCTGGTTGATGGCACCACAGGTTGATGTTGGATGCGCAGCAACACAAGAAACTGGCAAGGAGCCAAGGATTTGACGTTTTTTGACATACCGTGACAGGTTGTCTCCAAAAAAACATTTTGCTTCTAACGGGTCTCAAAAAGGAGATCTATTCAAATCTGTTCTCATCGTTACAGCCTGATGGTTTGCTGACCAAAGACCCCCGTTGGTCCGTGGGCCTATCGTTTTTGATGGCAATCTCCGCATTCGCCGTTGTTCTTCCCAGTTTCCATTTTGAGTTCCACTGCTGCATAGACTATTAACCACCATTAATCACCATTAATCACTATTAACCACTACTAATCATCATTAATCTCCATTGTTAGTTGTGTCCTCATCCCATTTCCCTTAGATCTTGTCTTTTGCAGAAAAAGATGATCGTTCTCCCGGCCGGTGGAAGCCACACACCGGTTCCAAAGCCCGAAAACAAGGCCAAGTTGTCCCACGTTCAAGTGACTATGTCCCCATGGACATCCCTCATGTTTGTTGACTACCATATGGGTTTGTCTGAAAATAGGGTATATTCCCAATGAAATAGCCATTTAAAAACGGGATAATGATCAGCAAAACCATTGGGTAAAAAGGGGTACACGACATTTTCAGACACACCCATATATATATATATACTACAATAGATGCCGGTGTTGAATCCACTGACGTCTGAAGGCTCAAGTAGACTGATCCAACTACTTGGGGTTTAACAGTGATGTCTGTTGGTGGAAAAAAAGTCATCAATTCATAATCCCCTTCAACTAGTTGGTATACTATAGTTAATCAACAATAATTATTGGTAATATAATTTATAATTCAATTGGGTAGTATACTATAGTTATATCTCCCCAATCCTAGTTGTTGGAGTGGTGAGTGGTACAGAACTTGACCCAGCTTAGGTACGAGTGGTGGACATTGTCGTCTTGTCGGGGACCAGGGCCAGTACCCTCTGGCATGAAAGATGGCTGCATATATATATATTATAGAATGGGCTAGCGCCCTGTGCCGCCGACCCCCCCTTTGTGGGGGTGGCAGGGCAGGATCAGTAAATAAAACCACAGGAGAAGTAAAGACTTTCAAGACCTACACGAAACAGACCGGTGGGAGCTCGAGTTGAGTCCAGTTTGTCTACCTGCGCATTTGGGAGGAGCTTCTAGGATTTTTCCAGAACAGGTCCTTGACGGGTGGGTTGCGCATCCTGGCACTACGTTCTGATACTAAACCAACCTTCACTGTAGCAATTTCTGGCCGCAATGGTATCGGTTCGAAGTGTTACTTCCATTTGGGCAATGTTTTGTCGTTGGGATTATGTTTCAATTAGTGAAGAGGCAGCAAAGGATGTGAAAAGAAACCTGAACAATTGAACGTTTCTGCTATGTGCTGCATTTCAATTCAACAACGAAAGTTGGTCAGCCTGTGCTGCATTTTATATATATATATATATATATATCCGAGCCGCGGAGGGTTTTAGGGGTTTTAAGGGTTTGAAGGCTGGCAAACGGCAGGCTCGAATGCCCTCACAAGAGAGGGCTATGTGCAGGCAAAGGGCAGGCTGCAACCCTGGAGCAGCAAAGGCTGACGGCCAGAGGGCTTGGTGGAAGCCGCCGCGGAGCGTTTTAGGGGTCTTAAGGGTTTGAAGGCTGGCAAACGGCAGGCTCGAATGCCCTAACAAGAGAGGGCTATGTGCAGGTAAAGGGCAGGCTGCAATGCTGGAGCGCTGACAGCCAGGAGCTTGGTGGAAGCAAAGGCTGACGGCCAGAGGCCTTTTGGTGGAAGCTGCCGCGGAGGGTTTTAGGGGTTTTAAGGGTTTGAAGGCTGGCAAACGGCAGGCTCGAATGTCCTAACGAGAGAGGGCTATGTGCAGGCAAAGGAGGGGTTTAGGCATTTTAGGGGTTCAGAGGGCTTGGTGGAAGCTGCCGCGGAGCGTTTTAGGGGTTTTAAGGGTTTGAAGGCTGGCAAACGGCAGGCTCGAATGCCCTAACAAGAGAGGGCTATGTGCAGGCAAAGGGCAGGCTGCAACCCTGGAGCAGCAAAGGCTGATGGCCAGAGGCCTTGGTGGGATGTGCAGGCAAAGGGCAGGCTGCAACCCTGGAGCAGCAAAGGCTGACGGCCAGAGGGCTTGGTGGAAGCTGCCGCGGAGCGTTTTAGGGGTTTTAAGGGTTTGAAGGCTGGCAAACGGCAGGCTCGAATGCCCTAACAAGAGAGGGCTATGTGCAGGTAAAGGGCAGGCTGCAATGCTGGAGCGCTGACAGCCAGGAGCTTGGTGGAAGCAAAGGCTGACGGCCAGAGGCCTTGGTGGAAGCTGCCGCGGAGGGTTTTAGGGGTTTTAAGGGTTTGAAGGCTGGCAAACGGCAGGCTCGAATGCCCTAACAAGAGAGGGCTATGTGCAGGTAAAGGGCAGGCTGCAATGCTGGAGCGCTGACGGCCAGGAGCTTGGTGGAAGCAAAGGCTGACGGCCAAGAGGCCTTGGTGGAAGCTGCCGCAGAGGGTTTAGGGGTTTTAAGGGTTTGAAGGCTGGCAAACGGCAGGCTCGAATGCCCTAACAAGAGAAGGCTATGTGCAGGCAAAGGGCAGGCTGCAACCCTGGAGCAGCAAAGGCTGACGGCCAGAGGCCTTGGTGGAAGCTGCCGCGGAGGGTTTTAGGGGTTTTAAGGGTTTGAAGGCTGGCAAACGGCAGGCTCGAATGTCCTAACGAGAGAGGGCTATGTGCAGGCAAAGGATGGTTTTAGGCATTTTAGGGGTTCAGAGGGCTTGGTGGAAGCTGCCGCGGAGCGTTTTAGGGGTTTTAAGGGTTTGAAGGCTGGCAAACGGCAGGCTCGAATGCCCTAACAAGAGAGGGCTATGTGCAGGCAAAGGGCAGGCTGCAATGATGGAACGCTGACGGCCAGGAGCTTGGTGGAAGCTGCCGCGAGGGATGGACGGCCAGAGGCCTTGGTGGGATGTGCAGGCAAAGGGCAGGCTGCAACCCTGGAGCAGCAAAGGCTGACGGCCAGAGGGCTTGGTGGACGCTGCCGCGGAGGGTTTTAGGGGTTTTAAGGGTTTGAAGGCTGGCAAACGGCAGGCTCGAATGCCCTAACAAGAGAGGGCTATGTGCAGGCAAAGGGCAGGCTGCAATGCTGGAACGCTAACGGCCAGGAGCTTGGTGGAAGCTGCCGCGAGGGATGTGCAGGCAGAGGGCAGGCTGCAACCCTGGAGCAGCAAAGGCTGACGGCCAGAGGCCTTGGTGGAAGCCGCCGCGGAGCGTTTTAGGGGTTTTAAGGGTTTGAAGGCTGGCAAACGGCAGGCTCGAATGTCCTAACGAGAGAGGGCTATGTGCAGGCAAAGGGCAGGCTGCAATGCTGGAGCGCTGACGGCCAGGAGCTTGGTGGAAGCTGCCGCGAGGGATGTGCAGGCAAAGGGCAGGCTGCAACCCTGGAGCAGCAAAGGCTGACGGCCAGGAGCTTGGTGGAAGCAAAGGCTGACGGCCAGAGGCCTTGGTGGAAGTTGCCGCGGAGAAAAGTTCCACACCTGCGGTGGTCCCAGGCGCCGCCCCGGCCTTGGCGAAGGCCGGGGTCGGCGGATATGTATATCACGGCAATATTGTGGACCTAAATGATTAGTTTCCAGCAAGCCATGTTTGATACCAGAGGGTTTTCATCGTCGCTGAGGACCCTGAAAATACTTGGGATAATGGCTGCGCAAGCTGCCAAACATATGGGACTGTTTGGCTAACCCAAAAGATGGATGGCATCAGATCTGTTCATCAGTGCTGCTGTAGTGATGGCGACACAAATGTGGGAAAACACAGAGTTGGTTTCTCTCAATTGGCAACCTACTAGAACCAGGATTTTTCCTTCCCGAATTGACACCAACGTCAATTGCATAGATGGTTGATTAGAATCCGTGGCAGATGCCAATTTCGAGGCCTAGCAATATGATTTTTTTCCAACGACCAGCAGCCAGCTTGGGTTGAGATGGCTGAGTTTTGACTTCTACCCCCAAGTTCTGTGGCTTTCTTTAACCATTTTCTCCACCGAAGTTGGTTGCCTGAGGAAGCTTCGCCCAGCTGATGGCTCTCGTCTACTGGTGGAGTTCAAGGTGGAGTTCTGCTGAGCGTTTAAACAATGTGGAGCCAACCACCGCGGGCTTCAACCACGACATGTCATCCATGTTATGCATAGGGATTATATGGCCTGGGTCAAAACCTATATGACTGGGGGAATCAACATCCAGAAAAACCAGCTGGGGGTAGGGTACCAGGCTCTTGACTCATAGCCATATATATATATAATATAAATAAATAAATGAATAAGTAAATAAATAAATCAAACAAATATACATATATACATAATTATATATATATATGTATATATATATATATATACACATTATGTTTGGATTCTCATTACGGGATGGATCGCCATAAACCATATGCCATCTTTTGACCAGGGTACATAGGGGACACAAGTATCAACGATGGGAACATTACCAATGAAGAATGGTGGTATGGGTGGGAAATTCAGCGCTTTGATAGACTTTACCCTCTGGTAATCAAACCTGCTAATTGGACATCCACTACAAACGGAGGTCTATAGCTGGGACAATTCTTTTCCATTGCCTTTGATTACCGGAGGGTAAGTACGAAAAAATCTGTCATAAATGGGATCGCTCTAGATAGCAACTATTTTCTGTTGGCAAGCTATTCTGGTTGGTGGCTTCAATCATTTTTTATTTTCCATTTTATATATGGGATGTAATCCTTCCCATTGACTTTCATATTTTTCAAGACGGTTAAGTCACCACCAAGCAGTATACTTAATCCATCATAAATGTAATAACTTTGGTATATGGAATATCCAGAAAAAAATATCCATAATAACCATTAACAACCAGTATAGAGTTCATCCATCATAAATGGGGTATAAATAGCCCATCAGTAGCATCTCACAATGATTATACCCATAAATTACCCCATCATTAGCACCATAAATGATTATACCCCATATTAGCCCATATAGCATGATTACCCTAGATTACCCTAATGGTCTTTCAAAGCACCATGGATTGATCCCCTGCAACATGTGCACCGCTGAAGATGTTGGGGGAGATCCTTTAGCAAATGAGAAAGATGGGAAAATCATGGGAACATGTTGAAACATGTTGAAACATGATGGGAAAATGATGCTTTTCAAATGCTTCGCAGGGGTAATCAAACATGGCAACACAAAATCCATCATTTAAAAATAGGTGTTTTTCGAAGAAAACGATATCATTCATATCGGATTGCGATTGCCGCACTTGATTACCGGAGGGTATAGTTGGTTGTACCCTCTGGTAAAGTAACATAGCTATTGAAAATGGCAATAGAAATAGTGGATTTTATCATTAAAAATGGTGATTTTCCATAGTTACGTTAGTTTACCAGAGGGTACATCATCCCTATGATATCCCAATGATATCCCCAGTATATCCCCTTGATCGTCTGACCTTGGCCCAGGAGAAGTTCCCAGATGAGCGTGAGCGAGAGACGAACCGACTGCCAGGCACAAAGAAGGAGCACCGGAATGGGCCCCGCAGCCGGGGATTTTCACTGTGAAAAATGACATGACTGATATTGGTGGGGAAGCATCCGAAAAATGGTGGGAGTTCCGTGTTTTCATGGCTTTCTATTTCAGATGTCCCCGAAATTCCTACTGGTTGATTCATCAGGGAAAAACTTCAATGGCTTTCACATTTTGCACACCAGCTCGTCTGCGGGTAGACCAACAACGCCTAGCCTTTGGGGCTGTTTTGGTTTCGAGGGAGTTGCGCGTATCGCGGATCTTCCAATGGTCACCATGGTCACCATCCCCTAGAGGTGGCCCTTGTTTTTTTCGCGTTTGACGTCTAGGTGGTTGACGATGTTGACGGTATAGCAAATTAGTAGCGCCCCCAGCAAAGTAGCGCCAGGTACTATGTATAAGCCTCTGGCTTTTTATAGCAGGCCGCTGCATGGAAGGGGACAGAAGCGGAGAGAGGTTCCCCCAAGGGAGTTGATGTGCACGCTAGGTGGAAGCTTGAGAGAGAAGCACAAGATAAGAGAAGAAGAAGAAGGAGGAGGAGGAGAAGAAGAAGAAGAAACATAGTAACCGAAGGAAGTTTAGAAGTCAAACTTCCGACAATATGGACAGATGAAAAACAGAGATGGGAAGAGTCAGAGAAGAGAAGAGAAGAAGAAAGAAGATCAAAAAAGAGAAAGTCTCAGAAGAAAGAAGATCCAGGTGCGCGAAAAGGTAGGAAAGTCGCGAAACTCTGTGTTTTTCCAATGATTTGTTGCTCCGGAGGGTCGAACAGTAGGCTCGCTAAAGCGGCGGGTGCGGAGCCAGCTGGCCAGATGAGATGAAAAATTGGGCGAGCTCTGCATGGTTTTTCTGTGCGCGGGGTCCTAGAAATGGCGTTCGCAGACGTTGCGAATATCATGCAAGTCCCTATTGTCCCTGACAGATGCACCAGCACTTGATACATGAGATTTTTGTCTAGCAAGTTGGTGCATGCTTCGAGCTGCCGCTGTCAATAGCATAGCGCCTGCAAGGTTCAGAATTGGATATGGGTCAGAATTGGCTACCGCAATCATTGTATGGACTAAAATCTGTGGTCCCCCAGGTCGTTAATTTTGACTCATACCCAAATGTTACACTTTGCCCAGATTTGGTGCAAGTGATTAAAGTCCCTTGCGCGCTGGCACGGCTGCTCATAAGATTCGCAGAGAGAAAAACTGACTTGAAACGGCTTGGAATCATATAGAAGCAGGTGAAAGATGGATGATGTTTTTGGAAGGTGGATGATGACGATGGTGATGATGATGATCATGATGATGATGATGGAGAATAATTTCCTGTCAATTCCCATTTTGTTGTTGGTTAGATTCAAGAACTGTTCTGGGTTGACTTCAATTTCGCGATTTAATGCCTGTTATTGTTGAATTGTTGGCTAAATTCCACTTGTTGTTCGAGTCCCAGTTTGACTTGGTTAAATCTCCAGTTTTGTGCGAGAGTTCTTGTAGCTTCAATTCACCATAGTCTTGGGTTTGTTAAGTTTTCTTCCAGAGCTCCAGGAGCCACATGAGAACGCCCGGCAGACGGCGGAACGCATCCTGCGGGAGATGATGAACATGGATCCCAGCATGGTTTCTTGACGAGGATTTCCTATAGCTGGCGAAAATCATATGGAGAACTGGGGGTAAACCTCCATATGGCCAGGTGTGTCCCTGAATTTTTCAGGACCTTGTGATCTTTGTGGTGTGAATGGGGGCGGCGCCTGTGTTTGATCCAGCAGAGGTTTGTTTGATCCAAGTTGGATGACGGAGATTCTTGCAGTTTAGACCAGTCTTCCACTTTTAGAAAACCAGTTTCTGGGTCAAATTTGGTTAAATACTTTAGTACTTGAATCTTTTGCTATCAATGGTAAAAATGTATTAGTCAGCTAAAAAATAGTCTTTTTGACAAGGATCTAAGATTCACCATGGTTTGCAATTCCAAAGGATTGACAGGGAAAACTCCCAGAGTATGTATCAATTTGGGATGTAGTCCATCCTTAGAGTCCATTTTTGGGATAGAACAGCATCACCTGAATTGAGGCTTCTTAGCCGTGGTTGATCCAACAAAATGGCAATAGTGCCAAGATCACATACACTTTTCCACATCATGTGGTTGTTCCTTTTCGCAACTGACGAGACGTCTCGAGATCTCATATTTCTGGACGATTTCGATCGAAAATAACTGACCAGAACCGTCCACCAGTGATGATTGGGTCAGGGGTAGGTCTGTCAGAGTTTGGGAGTGATAGATTCTCCGGATACGAAGAGTGCACCCAAGGTGGCTGTTTAGATATTGATGAACCTGTTGGGTCTCCAAAGTGATCGATTTTGGTCAACATTTTTCGGGCACAAGAGACTACAGTGACTACAGTTATTGTGGTCCATTCTGAGGTTCGTTTATCATTATTGACCCATAGCCATGATCATTTATCATCATAGATTTCGTAACCCCCCAAAAAGATGCCGAAAAGTGTTACGAAAGGATTGGAATAGGTGATATGAATGTGATATAGTTGCAGATGTGCAAGATATGTCCGAGAAAAACACGTATCATCACATGAAACATCAAAAAAAACGCAACAGGTCAGATGGTCACAGAATTTTCGCCAACGAGAAGGGATCAAGATCAAGACCAAACATCAACCTTTTTTGGAGTTCGCGAAAATGATGGAAATGGACATGGATATGTCATTTCTCTGGGCCGAAGCCTGGAATGATGCTGACATTTTTTTTTCGGGATGATCCCACAAAATCCAAAAAATCTTGCAGCTTACCCTCGTGTAAACTAACATAGATGTGGAAAACATTGGAAAACCCACGATTTGTAGAACAAAAATCCTGGGGAAACCATTGGTTTTCTACATCTATGTAGAGTACCCAGATGAAGATTTTCACTAAAATGGCTCCTCCTCAACGTCTTGTACAAAACCAACCATACGGATTTTGCATGACAATTGCTGGGATTCCTCCTGTAAGGGCTTAGAGTCTAATGCATCAATGCTTATGATATGGTTATTGACATGATTTTTTCTATGTCTGTATAATCTTCACAATGACCACTAATGTCTCAATAGCTATAATCGCACCATGATACGATTGACTAAACACAACCACCGCGCACAAAAACACAGGAATTTGACCCCGTAGAAGTAGGATTTTCACTCAAAAATGCCATGTTGTTATACTCCCAGAATTGATGGGACAATTTACCACCAGAAGCCCCAAAAATATTTCGTGGTGTTTACAACGCGAGTTTCCGAATTTTTCTTAAATCCATTGATAAATATTCGGAAAATGGCCATTGCCCCTACTTGGTTACTCTCTGGTAGTTCAACAGAGCTATGGAAAAGCACCATTTTTTGAGTTCGGTAAACCACCAATAAATGTCTTTATACATGGACCATTTTCCAGTCAATGGATTGGTTTAAGGGAAATTCTACAGGAAACCATTGTTTTTCCTATGGAATATGGGAGTTTCCTGTAAAACTTTCCCTTACTGTAAACCAATCCATTCAGATTTCCGGGCTCTGCTGCACCTGTTTCCGAACTTAGGTGACCTTTGATTTCTCCAACGTGGAGCGACAAGAGGAGGAGACTGACTCGCCCTCCTTTCCGGTCCGCCGTGGTGACGCCGTGGTGGTGAGGTTTCGATGCTTATTGGGGGATCCCCCAAGCGAGCATTGGATGGTTTATTTCATGGAAAATCCGAACATCAATATGGCACTTCATGGGATGCGATCGCTTGGTTAGGATCAGACTAGTGAAAGCCCCAGTGAAAGCCCGATGGAGAAAGAGCCACATAGCTGTGGACATCACCTACAAGGTGGTGTTATAATCCCAGTAACTATAGATATATCACCTATAAACCATAGTTATTGGACTTAACCAACTTAGCTAACGAACTGGGGCAACACCCTGTAATAAAAATCATAGGTGAATTCTCCCACTAAATGGGTCCATGGCTTCCATAGCTACGATTCGTCAGCAGTTTTCACTCTGCATCGACAGTTTCGGGGCTTGCGGTATACTGTCTACGACATATACTGGTTGGTGGTTTGGAACATGAATTATATGACTTTCCATATATTGGGAATAATCATCCCAACTGACGAACTCCATCATTTTTCAAGATAGTTAAAACCACCAACCAGTATACTACTGTAGTATACTGTAGCTGTATAAACCACCAAGAATGGATCCATGATCATGCCATCTATGATTTTCCAGCTCAGGCTCCCTGTCAGAAGTTGGAGTGTATACCCATCTGGGGGAATTTTCATCAATCCATTAATAGGGATTTATATGCCTATTATGTCACAATCCCCTCCACTTTGAAGTGGAGCGATATGTTTCCGAAAAGCATTGGGAATTGGTTCCCATATCTTTGCTTTCTTCATAATTCCCGTATCAAAACCAGTGGCTTTGTGGGTTTGGTACCTGAAAATTTCAGGAAATTCCACCATTCCATGGTTCATCATCATTTTCCCTGTTTTTTGATGGCCATAAATTCAGGGCCCGTACCCCATTTCTGGACAAAGCCCCTTGGTATACCCCATTCGCCATCATCACCCAGAGTCTGGCCCTTAGGGCGTCACGACTGTCTATCGAAAAGAGCTCGTGGAGTGTAAAGTGACAACATCGGAACAGGTGGGGGATTGGGTGAGGGGCCGGCGCCGGTCAACACGGTCCTGCTTGAGAGATTCCAAAGTTTTGACAGGAAAAACATGTTTGAGAGGAACAGGGAAAACGTCATGGGGAAATATAGGAAAAACTATAAGTTCTGAACAAAACCGCCCGGAAATCATTGTCACTTTCAACGGGAGAACATTGAGAACATCCATTCACGAGCTCTTTGGATCCTCACTGGGGTGGTAAACTGATCCTGGCTATGGCCCTGACTGTTACGAAAGGCCAGGTAGCACTGCTTCCAATCCAGTCCAGGCCTACCAAAAGCCTGTGGAATCCGTGACTATATCATGGATTCGATTCCTACTTCCAACACCTTTGAGAGTACCCTCCGGTGTCATCAGCACAACAGGCGCTTCAAGAGAAGGTGGGGTTGCCGGGCATGACGCAGTGGTATGCCACTGATCCTCAGGCGCGGAGGCCTGAGGAAACTCGATCCGAAAAAAGTTTCCCCAGGGGGAAAGCAACAGATATCAGAGATCTCCAAGATTTTCGAGTAAATCTAGGTCATCTCTTTACACTTCAATGTATTTCAATGCATTTCATCCAGTTTTCACAATTTTTTCACCATTTTTTCATTCAAAAACTGATCCCAACTGACCTACCCGGCGCGGCGAGGGCAACACCAAGTTCTTCACGTGGCTCACGGATGGCGAGGCTGAGGCCAAAAAGGTGCGTCCGTGGTGAACGTCAGTGTTGGTGGTTTAACATCCATGGATGTGCATGGATGTTAATGGATATTAATGGATATAAATATACCATTAATTGGATGTGTGGGATCCACTAAAAAATCATCCCATATAATCCAGTGGGGACTAAGTCCAATTTACTTATCATAAATCACATAGAAAGTCCAATTTACTTATGATAAATCACAGAGAAATCCCGATTTACTTATCATAAATCACATAGAAAGTCCAATTTACTTATCATAAATCACATAGAAAGTCCAATTTACTTATCATAAATCACATAGAAAGTCCAATTTACTTATGATAAATCACAAAGAAATCCCGATTTACTTATCATAAATCACATAGAAAGTCCAATTTACTTATGATAAATCACAGAGAACTCCCAATTTACTTATCATAAATCACATAGAAAGTCCAATTTACTTATGATAAATCACAGAGAAATCCCGATCTACTTATCATAAATCACATAGAAAGTCCAATTTACTTATGATAAATCACATAGAGAGTCCAATTTACTTATGATAAATCACATAGAAAGTCCAATTTACTTATGATAAATCACAGAGAAATCCCGATTTACTTATCATAAATCACATAGAAAGTCCAATTTACTTATGATAAATCAAAGAGAAATCCCAATTTACTTATCATAAATCACATAGAAAGTCCAATTTACTTATGATAAATCACAGAGAAATCCCGATTTACTTATCATAAATCACATAGAAAGTCCAATTTACTTATGATAAATCACAGAGAAATCCCAATTTACTTATCATAAATCACATAGAAAGTCCAAATTACTTATGATAAATCACAGAGAAATCCCAATTTACTTATCATAAATCACATAGAAAGTCCAATTTACTTATGATAAATCACAGAGAAATCCCAATTTACTTATCATAAATCACATAGAAAGTCCAATTTACTTATGATAAATCACATAGAAAGTCCAATTTACTTATCATAAATCACAGATAAATTCCAATTTACTTATCATAAATCACACAGAATTTCCTGTTTACTTATAATAGAAAGTCCAATTTACTTATCATAAATCACAGAGAAACTACAATTTACTTATCATAAATCACAGAGAAATCCCAATTTACTTATCATAAATCACATAGAAAGTCCAATTTATTTATGATAAATCACATAGAAAGTCCAATTTACTTATCATACATCACATAGAGAGTCCAATTTACTTATCATAAATCACAGATAAATTCCAATTTACTCATCATAAATCACACAGAATTTCCTGTTTACTTATAATAGAAAGTCCAATTTACTTATCATAAATCACAAAGAACTTCCAATTTACTTATCATAACTCACAGAGAAATCCCAATTTACTTATCATAAATCACATAGAGAGTCCAATTTACTTATGATAAATCACATAGAAAGTCCAATTTACTTATCATAAATCACAGATAAATTCCAATTTACTCATCATAAATCACACAGAATTTCCTGTTTACTTATAATAGAAAGTCCAATTTACTTATCATAAATAACATAGAACGTCCAATTTACTTATGATAAATCACAGAGAAATGCCAATTTACTTATCATAAATCACATAGAAAGTCCAATTTACTTATGATAAATCACATAGAAAGTCCAATTTACTTATCATAAATCACAGATAAATTCCAATTTACTCATCATAAATCACACAGAGTTTCCTGTTTACTTATAATAGAGAGTCCAATTTACTTATCATAAATCACAGAGAAATCCCAATTTACTTATCATAAATCACATAGAGAGTCCAATTTACTTATGATAAATCACATAGAAAGTCCAATTTACTTATCATAAATCACAGATAAATTCCAATTTACTCATCATAAATCACACAGAATTTCCTGTTTACTTATAATAGAAAGTCCAATTTACTTATCATAAATAACATAGAACGTCCAATTTACTTATGATAAATCACAGAGAAATGCCAATTTACTTATCATACATCACATAGAGAGTCCAATTTACTTATGATAAATCACATAGAAAGTCCAATTTACTTATCATAAATCACAGATAAATCCCAATTTACTTATCATAAATCACATAGAAAGTCCAAATTACTTATGATAAATCACAGAGAAATCCCAATTTACTTATCATAAATCACATAGAAAGTCCAATTTACTTATGATAAATCACAGAGAAATGCCAATTTACTTATCATAAATCACATAGAGAGTCCAATTTACTTATGATAAATCACATAGAAAGTCCAATTTACTTATCATAAATCACAGATAAATTCCAATTTACTCATCATAAATCACACAGAGTTTCCTGTTTACTTATAATAGAGAGTCCAATTTACTTATCATAAATCACAGAGAAATCCCAATTTACTTATCATAAATCACATAGAGAGTCCAATTTACTTATGATAACTCACATAGAAAATCCAAGTTACTTATCATACATCACAGATAAATTCCAATTTACTCATCATAAATCACAGAGAATTTCCTGTTTACTTATAAAGAATCACATAGAAAGTCCAATTTACTTATCATAAATCACAGAGAAATTCCAACTTACTTATCGTAAATCACAGATAAATTCCAATTTACTCATCATAAATCACACAGAATTTCCCGTTTACTTATAAAGACTCACATAGAAAGTCCAGTTTACTTATTATAAATCACGGAGAAATCCCAATTTACTTATAATAAATTACATAGAAAATCCAATTTACTTTTCATAAATCACATAGAGAGTCCAATTTACTTATCATAAATCACATAGAGAGTCAAATTTACTTATCATAAATCACATAGATATTCCAATTTACTTATCATAAATCACATAGAAAGTCCAATTTACTTTTCATAAATCACATAGAGAGTCAAATGTATTTATCATAAATCACATAGAGAGTCAAATTTACTTATCATAAATCACATAGAAAGTCCAATTTACTTATCATAAATCACACAGAAAGTCCAATTTACTTATCATAAATCACATAGAGAGTCAAATTTACTTATCATAAATCACAGAGAAACTACAATTTACTTATCATAAATCACATAGAAAGTCCAATTTACTTTTCATAAATCACATAGAGAGTCAAATGTATTTATCATAAATCACATAGAGAGTCAAATTTACTTATCATAAATCACATAGAAAGTCCAATTTACTTATCATAAATCACATAGAAATCCAAATTTACCAATCATAAATCACATAGAAAGTTCAATTTACTTATCATGAATCACATAGAGAGTCAAATGTACTTATCATAAATCACATAGAGAGTCAAATTTACTTATCATAAATCACATAGATATTCCAATTTACTTATCATAAATCGCACAGAAAGTCCAATTGTCCTATCATAAATCACATAGAGAGTCAAATGTACTTATCATAAATCACATAGAGAGTCAAATTTACTTATCATAAATCACATAGAAAGTCCAATTTACTTATCATAAGTCACAGAGAAAGTCCAATTTACTTATCATAAATCACATAGAAAGTCCAATTTACTTATCATAAATCACATAGAAAGTCCAATTTACTTATCATAAATCACATAGAGAGTCCAATTTACTTATCATAAATCACATAGAGAGTCAAATTTACTTATCATAAATCACATAGATATTCCAATTTACTTATCATAAATCACATAGAAAGTCCAATTTACTTTTCATAAATCACATAGAGAGTCAAATGTATTTATCATAAATCACATAGAGAGTCAAATTTGCTTATCATAAATCACATAGAAAGTCCAATTTACTTATCATAAATCACACAGAAAGTCCAATTTACTTATCATAAATCACATAGAGAGTCAAATTTACTTATCATAAATCACATAGATATTCCAATTTACCTATCATAAATCACATAGAAAGTTCAATTTACTCATCATAAATCACATAGAGAGTCCAATTTACTTATCATAAATCACATAGATATTCCAATTTACTTATCATAAATCACATAGAAAGTCCAATTTACTTATGATAAATCACAGAGAACTCCCAATTTACTTATCATAAATCACATAGATATTCCAATTTACCTATCATAAATCACATAGAAAGTTCAATTTACTTATCATAAATCACATAGAGAGTCAAATGTACTTGTCATAAATCACATAGAAAGTTCAATTTACTTATGATAAATCACATAGAGAGTCAAATGTACTTATCATAAATCACATAGAGAGTCCAATTTACTTATCATAAGTCACAGAGAAAGTCCAATTTGCTTAATATAAATCACATAGATATTCCAATTTACTTATCATAAATCACATAGAAAGTCCATTATTTTTTGCTTGAGCGTTTCCACTTTGCTTGGTGGAACCCCATGTCTCCAGCGCAAGGTGAAGTTGAAGGTGCATGGCTCTCATGTGCTGTGGCCCAGACGGTGAAAAACCTGGTGTCCGACCTCAACGGTGATTGGAAACCCACGGTCACTTGGGGATCCCCTATTTTAGGACCCCCCTATGTATATATATATATACATACAGATAATCAGATAGAGGTAGTAAGGTATATATATATAGATGTATAGATTAGATTTGATAGGTAGATAGATAGATATATCGATATGGCAGACCACCCCAAACCAAGCTTACTTATGATATGGGAATGATTGTTTTTTTGCTAGCAGAATGGACGACACTGCAGCAAAACATTGGTTGATAGATCTCAACTTGGTTTTGCAACCGCACATTTGATTTGAAAACTGTGAATGTTTCTTGTTGAAGCACCTAGTGCTTTTTCAAGATCGGGCACGTTCCCAGTGGCTAGATAAGGGAAATATACAGGAACCCCAAATCTTTGAGCGTCAAAATCATGGAATCTCTCAAATCAACCCAACATCATCTTTTTAAAGTACTGGATCTTAAACCACAAACCATAAACATCGAAACCTGGGATACCTAGATCTCCACCCTGGTCCGCGCACCCATTGGCCTAGATGAGGAGGCGTGGCAACGGGACGGCTGGGGATGGGCCATGGGAGTTTCATGGTTACCGCAATGTTTTAAGCAACCTTGGACGTGTGCATTTCAGTAAGTGGTTGGTTTAGAAGCCATATACAACTGGGAATATTCCATATATAACTAGGGTAACTAGGGGTATACTGGATATAATATGGTTGTTATCCACTTACTAAGTGGGATGCACACCCAAGTAGGGATTTATATATGATGATTATTTCATATCGATGGGACAATAATTGGGACAATGAGAGAAATCCCTCCAGTGTCGGAGGTTTATTGATGGGAAAGTCAGCGAAGTAAATGTGGGATTTCCCAGCAAACCGTGGAGCTGATTACCGGAGGGTAATGATAAAACCACCCAATCAACATGACGACCTTGCCATGAGTTCAGGGTTGGAAGATTAAGTGTTTTTTACAAAAAGTGCTCAAAATTCCGAAGATGAAATCGACAAGTTGTGTTTTTTAGGTTTTTTTTGATGAAATAGACGTTTTTTTTTCTCATGTATACTTTACAGCTTTCCAACCTTTCTATCACTGGGGGTAGCCCATATTATTTCTGGTTCCTATGGTGACAATTTCTCGACCTGCCATGGCGCATAAATGCGCCAGGCGCTGAGGGAGTACTTGAAGACCAACGGGTGCCTCGGCAGAATCGAACTGCATAGATCCCGAATCTGTGGCTTCACCAGGCACCAGGCTTCACCAAGGTACCACTTGGGATCTTTCAGTGATATCAATGGTAAAACCATGAAAAACCCTGATTTTATAGTGATTCTTGATGGGATTTTATAGTGATTCAATGGGATATGAATGGGATATACCCGGCCTGGTTCTGACCAACTAACAGTTCGCCATGGTATATATCGATGGCCCTAATCGAAATAGATGGTTTAGCTAGCTATAAAATGGTGGATCTTTCCATGGCTATGTAACAAATTACCAGATGGTTACTCCAAAAAATGCTTCCCGGTTTTTCACACCATGCAGACTTTCATGGATTTTTCAGGATCGACGTGACCCAGTTTGGACAGAACGGAACCAAGTGACTGGGCTGTGGACTGGGCGGAAGGGAGCTATGGAAGGAAAATGGTAAGTCAATGAGCTATTTGGGGATGGGTCAAAAGCAATCATCTGCCATATTTGCGGGGATGAACGTGTGCGATCTCGTCGGCCGGCTTCGTTCGAACATCAAATTCTGGTCAACAATTGCTGATACTGTACTACCCCGGTTCTTTCCTTGAAACCCATTTTTGGCTGGGGTATAAGTGGTAGAAGTCTGGTTCAAGTCGGTAGCTCAAAAAGAAACTTCTAGATCAATCCCACAAAGTGGGGCCCCCTAGATAGCTAAGTTGGTTTATAACTCCAATAACTATGGTTTGTGGTACCTATAACTATAGTTAATGGGGCTTATAAACCAACTAACATCACTGGGGGGCCCCACTTGCATGTGTGGCTGGGACTCATTTCTCGCAGCTTCATGGGATTTTCTGGCCGAAATCTGATGGCGGGCTGAGGTCCCTGAAGGAGTTCTCCTCCGAACTGATCAAGGGCGAAACACGGCTGTTGCAGGTCACCCGGTTGTGGAAGGGATTTGGCGAAGACTGGGCATTTTGTGAAAAAATCATAGGAAATCATAGGACTTAAAGCTAGTAGATTGAAGGAAGAATTGGATTCAAGAAACCAGACATTGGGTTGGAACCTGATACAATTTGTATATAACCAGGAAGAAGATATGGAAGAAAGGGATTTGCTAAGATAAACCAACCAGGATGGGTATCGATGGACCAAGGTGGCAAAACTTGGCCTCTGGAGCCTTGTTTTCCATGACCTAGCCATTGTGTCCTAAGTGTTGTTGATTTATCGAAGTATTTACCGTCCTGTGTCAGGTTATTAACCTATATATGCCAAAACAGAGGGGATCTGAACAAGTCACCATGGATTTGACCGACCAAATGGGGAAAAACCCTGTGAAGTTTGATATGTATAGATTGTATAGGACGGCATATATGATATATATGTATATATACATACAGATACACACACATATATAGATATATAAATAACTATATACATATTATATTCGCACACACAGAAGTGAAGTATCCAACCTTGACCCGCAGCCATTTCGGGAGAGATGGCATTGGTAGCATCGCTTCCGGTCGACTCTCCGAAGGGGTCAACCAAAGTCAACCCGATCGATTGATCTGTACCATTCGGTGTCATCAAACATAACTATTTTCGGGGGTTTCCATAAATGGGGGATCCCTAAAATGGATGGTTTATTTCCATGGTAAAACCCTTTTTTATATAATGGATGATTTGAAAGTATCCCCATAAAAAAGGACAGCTCCATCTAGCTGGAAAATTCACCAGAAATACTTCAACTGGTGATGTCCGATTTTTATTTTGATCAATAAATAATATTCAATTCCCATTTTCTAGCATCCATATCCCAATTATATCGAGCAATTGGATCCCTATTGTTGAACCATGGTTCATGTGGGATATACCTCACGTAGACGACCTGGTGCAGGTCGCCAGTGGTGAGATCCTCGTCATCACGGAGGTTCCGTATCGATTTTCGACTTTTGAGCTTGTGCGCAGATTTCTTTTAGCTAATATATATATATATATGTATGTATGTATGTATGTATGTCATGTCATGTCATGTCATGTCATGTCATGTCATGTCATGTCATGTCATGTAATGTAATGTAATGTAATGTTATGGATGTATGTAATGTATGTTATGTTATGTTATGCTATGCTATGTTATGTATGTATGTAATGTAATGTAATGTAATTTAATGTAATGTAATGTAATGTAAATGTAATTGTAATTGTAATTGCAATGTAATGTAATGTAATGTAATTTAATGTAATGTATGTAATGTATGTAATGTCATGTAATGTCATGTAATGTCATGTAATGTCATGTAATGTAAGGTTATGTTATGTAATGTTATGTATGTATGTAATGCATGTTCTGTTCTGTTCTGTAATGTAATGCATGTAATGTATGTATGTATGTAGGTTAGGGTAGGGTAGGGTATGTTATGGCTATGGTATATATGTATGTTATGGTATGTTATGTTATGGTATGGTATGGTATGTATGGAATGGTATGTATGTAATGCATGTAATGCATGTAATGTATGTAATGTATGTAATGTATGGTAATGTAATGTAATGTAATGTAATGTTGTGTCATGTTATGTCATGTTATGTCATGTCATGTCATCTAATGTAATATATGTATGGTTGGTATGGTATGGCATGGCATGGTATGGTATGGTATGGTGATGTAATGTATTGTACATAAAATCTTACAAAACGAGTTTGATCATTTTGGCCCCGGAAGTTCCATGGATTTGTTACAAAACGCTGCCGGACGCCCGGACGCCGGTGCGACAGGTGGTCATGATGATCCTCACAAACAAAGAGAATAAAGAGACCTTGGTGCAGACAGGGCAGGTGCCATGGGTGCCATGGGCACGGGCTGCACCCCCATTTTCAGACCCCAAAAATGTTTGGAGACTACAGGATGGGGCCCCCAAGATAACTAAGTTGCCTCAAAAAATGGCTTAACTATGGTTTATAACTGGGGCGGCCCATCCTGTACCTGCCTTGATTTTCAATGAACATGTTGTGAAGCAGGTTGGCATGTTCCATGGACGCCGAAACCTAGCACCTTACCTGTAGATACCGTTTTCTTGGCGTTTGTTTCGTTAAAAATACACGACTTGGGGAATCGATGTATTGGGTATATTTCATCATCATCATCATCATCAACAACAACAAGAAGAAGAAGGAGAACAACAACATTATCAACAACAACAACAACAACAACATCAACAACAACAACAACAACATCAACATCAACAACATCAACAACAACAACAACAAGAAGAAGAAGAAGAAGAACAACAACAACAAGAAGAAGAATAAGAACAACAACATTATCAACAACAACAGCATTATCAACAACAACAGCATTATCAACAACAACAACAACAACAACAACAACAACAACATTATCAACAACAACAACCGCAACCACAACCACAACCACAACAACAACAACAACAACAACATCAACAACAACCACAACAACCACAACCACAACAACAACAACAAAAACAACAACAACAACAACAAGAAGAAGAAGAAGAACAACAACAACATTATCAATAACGACAACGACAACAACAACGACAACGACAACGACACCGACAACAACAACATCAACATCAACAACAACATCAACATCAACATCAACATCAACATCAACATTATCATCAATATCAACATCAACATCAACATCAGCATCAACATCAACATCAACATTATCATCAACATCAACATCAACATCAACATCAACATCAACATTATCATCAACATCAACATCAACATCAACATTAACATCAACATCAACATCAACATTATCATCAACATCAACATTATCATCAACATCAACATCAACATCAACATCAACATTATCATCAACATCAACATTATCATCAACATCAACATCAACATCAACATCAACATCAACAACATCAACATCAACATCAACATCAACATTATCATCAACAACATTATCATCAACATCAACATTATCATCAACATCAACATCAACATCAACATCAACATCAACAATCATCAACATCAACATCAACATCAACAATCATCAACATCAACATCAACATCAACATCAACATCAACATCAACATTATCATCAACATCAACATTTCATCAACATCAACATCAACATCAACATCAACATCAACATTATCATCAACATCAACAACATCAACATCAACATCAACATCAACATCAACATCAACATCAACATCAACATCAACATCAACATCAACATTATCATCAACATCAACATCAACATCAACATCAACATCAACATCAACATTATCATCAACATCAACATTATCATCAACATCAACATCAACATCAACATCAACAACATCAACATCAACAACATCAACATCAACATCAACATCAACAACATCAACATCAACATCAACATCAACATCAACATCAACATCAACAACATTATCATCAACAACATTATCATACATTATCCAGCCACCCCCCCACACTGTTTGGGGTCTCTTGCCGGGATCATATTTTTTTGGAAAAACCAGCCAGTCCAAGTTTTTGGAAAAACGTAGCTAATATAGCCATGATATCCCCGTTCTATAGTAGATCCTAAACATACTGGGAATTTGGATTGGCATGGAATTTATGGACCCCGCATTCCCACAATCTTCCATAGGGGTTTCTTATGGGAGTAGTACGAGAGTAGTATGGGAGGGTCCCATCAGCCAGGGGGGTCCAAGCAAATCTATCATATGCGAATAGAAATTCGCCATGATATTCCCATTTCATCTACCCTCTGGTAAACAAACAAAAAACGACATGGAAAATGGTGATTTAGTTCGTGGATTTACCCGGCTATAAAATGGTGATTTTCCATAGTTATGTAAACGTTTACCAGAGGGTAACATGAATTAACATGATATTTCACCACAGTTATGGGGAAAATGTCCCAACAAATAATGCATCAAATTCCCATCAAATTCCCATGATTCCTAGGGTGGATCCGATTCGACCCTGGAACCAGGTCTGGCCCGACGGCAAGAGCAGCACTCAGCCTCGCATTCCCGGGGCCAAGCGGCGTCACTGTGCGAAAATTTCGTCGGTGATTTTCCAGGGACATCCACTACGAATGGGGAATCGATTAAGGGAATATGTTTGGATTTCTTGGGGTCTGGATAAGGCTCTTGTTATATATATATATATGTATATATATATGTATATATATATATATGTATATATATATAGTTAATTTATATAACTTAGAAAAGAAGGGATTGGACACCCTTTTTCATTGAGGCATATTGAAGCAGCGCTTTTCATCCACATCCAAGTTTTGCGGTGTCTGTGTGCCTCTTAAGGATTCTAGAGAAACACTCAGAAGCTCCCGCGCTCCCACAAGGTCTCATATGTCAGCCCCCCGTTACAATTAGAGAGGTTCTTCCCAGGAACTGGCAGGTTTTATGATTTCTGGAAGGACATGCAGGGACGACGCAAGATGGGATTGTCCACTGGTTGGACCCCAAACCATCAAAATCAAAATCCAATGGTAGCGATGGACAACTTTAGGCAAATAGAGTATAAATCATCTATAAACAAAGCCCGTTTTGGCCATGTAGATATAGAATATAACATCATATACCCTCTGGTAAACATACAAAAAGCTATCGAAAATGGCCATAGAAATAGTGGATTTTCCCATTAAAAATGGTGGATCTTTCCATAGCTATGTTAAATTACCAGAGGGGAACCAGATGGTACTTTTTACCCCTCAAGAATTCTTCGTTGCAGGGCCTGACGAGAATCAATTCCTCTGCGCCCGACGCATCCTGAAGAGGTCGAGCCACTGGGGAAAGCCTCATGAAGAATGATGCTTAATAACAGATTACTGATGGTTCATAATAGTTAATGATGGTTAATTAATGGTTCATAATGGTTAATGATGGCCAGCAATGGTTAATGATGGTTCATTATGGTTAATGATGGTTAATTAATGGTTCATAATGGTTAATGATGGCCAGCAATGGTTAATGATGGTTCATTATAGTTAATGATTGTTAATTAATGGTTCATAATGGTTAATGATGGTCAGTAATGGTTGATGGTTCATTATGGTTAATGATGGTTAATTAATGGTTCATAATGTTTAATGATGGCCAGCAATGGTTAATGATGGTTCATTATGGTTAATGATGGTTAATTAATGGTTCATAATGGTTAATGATGGTCAGCAATGGTTAATGATGGTTCATTATGGTTAATGATGGTTAATTAATGGTTCATAATGGTTAATGATGGTCAGTAATGGTTAATGATGGTTCATTATGGTTAATGATGGTTAATTAATGGTTCATAATGGTTAATGATGGCCAGCAATGGTTAATGATGGTTCATTATGGTTAATGATGGTTAATTAATGGTTCATAATGGTTAATGATGGTCAGTAATGGTTAATGATGGTTCATTATGGTTAATGATGGTTAATTAGTAATGGTTCATAATGGTTAATGATGGTGAATTAATATAGTGATGGATATATAGTAATGGTTAATAGTGGTTCATAGTGGTTAATTATGATTAATTAAACATGGTTAATAATGGTTAATGATGTTTAATGGTGGTTAATACAGGTTAATAGTGGTTTATAATGGTTAATGATTGTTAATAATGGGTCATAATGGTGAATAATAGTTATATACTGATGGTTAATGATAGTTCGCGATTGTGAATAATGGTTAATAGTTGTTAGTCATGGTTACAGTATATAATGATGATCAATAATGGGTCTGTAACCAACGATAGATGAAGAATGGATCGCTGGAATAATGTGAACAAATCACCATGAATGTAGACCTCTGAAACCAGGGAAACCATGGGTTTTCCATATCTTTTTGTACGTTTACGCTAGGGCCTAGGGTATTGTGCGATGGTCATTTTAGTCGGATTGCAGATGATTCGATTAAGCCATATATCGGGATGGAAACCATTAAAGAACATAGGATACCCTCTGGTTATTTAACATAGCCATGGAAAATGGCCCATTTGTGGATGGTTTACCTATTAAAAATGGTGATTTTCCATGGCTATGTTAAATAAACAGATGGTAGTTTTTAATTGGCGCCAATTAATTGTGGGATTTAGAATTTCATAGTCGAATGGGATGGCGCGAATTTGAGATGTGGCTTTGGTAGCTGCATTTGGATCCCGTGCTTGTTGGTTCAGATCTTGTCCTATTCACCAATACATGATTGGGGTGGTCAAGAGGGGGTTGTAGCATTGTATCCCATATAATAGATCATATAGATAGATAGATAGATATGTAAATATACTATTCCATCTAATCCCATATAATATAATAGATATGTACCATTATATACTAATCTGGGATGAATGATAACGACCTGTTCAGCTATTTTCAGGTTAGTGGATTACTATAATCCAGCCAGATAGATGGGTCCGAAAACTCAGCCTTTTTCAAGACAACCCCGTTGTGGTTACATAAAATGGCCGGAAAATCATGACACAAACCCCAGTTTTTAGAGCCAATTTTGCCGTGTGACTTTGTGGGTTTCAGAGGTTGTCATGATGTTCATCATCCCAGTTTTCAAAGTCTTGTGGGTTTCAAACATGATGGATAAATCATTAATCGCAATAATTGGGGGACGGAGGAAGTGTGATTTTGGCAGCATCTTGGCATGTTTTGATAGAGGTTCCCTAGATTTTGGCTGTTCAGAGGGGTTTGAAGATCGTGCTTTGGTAGTTAAACTGTGGGCAAAGCCCAAAACGGGGGTATTTGTAGTGAAAACAAAGGAATTAACCTTCTTTTGTGGGGCAATGCTAGCACTGCCGATCTGAAGCAAGGGCCCAGATAGCCAGCTCACATTTTGCCAAAGTTGATACAACTACCGTACTTACCAGATCAGTTTAATGAACCTTATTTGATTGGTGGTTTGGAACATTTTTTATTTTTCCATATATTGGGAATAATAATCCCAACTGACTAATATTTTTCAGAGGGGTTGAAACAACCAACCAGTTATTCACACGGAAACAACATCGCCAGTTCACTTCCCGTTTCGAAACGGTAGTTTCAACCCGGTTTGGGTTTGTCTCTTGAAGATGGTTGCAGAAATCAGATATCTTCGCTGTTTGTACTGTTGAAACCCGTTGAAATTCATTGAAGGCAGCTGGAAATCGATGAGAACGCAGTCGGAGCCCAGATTGATCGTTTCCTGCATTGGGTAGTAGCTTTGAAAAGGCGAAAACGTGGAAGATCTTGTTGTTTTCAATGATGCTTTCAATATATCGTCATAGATATTGCATTGCACTGATCTTGATTTTTTTTACTTGATAACTATGCACATTTCTGATATGTTTCATTCAGAACATCTCAGGATGTTCATTTCAATCTGTTTCTCGAGGTTCGTATCTCCACAGATGTTGGATACCTCGAGGAAGATCGTGGCTCCAAGAGCCGCTTGGCGAGGAAGATCAGACACCATGAATCAATGGCCAGAGAGAATCGCCGGCTTTTAAACATAACCATCAGAAACCATGAGTCTTAGTGTAGAAAGGCCAACAAAATGTCCCAGCTCAGGCCATTCATTGAGTAGATATATATTTTGAATATTTTACTTGCAGGATAAGCCTAGTAGTTGGGTCATAGTACCAATTCAGAACTGGTGATCAAGCACGGTTGTAACACGTTGCAAAAGGTTGGCAGTTTTTGGACTTCCGGCTGGAAAGGAGTTCTATAGCCTACTAGCTCATCGACTCATGGAAACAAAGTCCAGTCTTCATAGCAATTCATAGCATTTCATGATACCCTCAGGTAAACTAACATAACCATGGAAAATCACCATTGTTGATGGGTAAATCCACTATAAATCACCATTTTCCATAGCTTTTTGTATGTTTACCAGAGGGTATTCATCGCATTGAACAAACCCACTGGGAGATGCTTCTCGCCCAGGTTACCCGGGTCTCAAGACGGTGCGCCAAAAACCCGGTGTTTCACCGACTGGGACGGAAGTGGAAAAGCTGAAATCACTGAAATCATCCCATTGCGATGTTAAAATAGGGCTATATACCCAATGATAAACCTCTATTCAGGAGGTTTATTAGGCTGGTTTACGAAATTTACCGTAGATGAAATTTAGCAAAATCAAACTGCCCGGCTTTGGGATTTCCGGTACTTGAGATTCAAGGGATTAAGTTGAACCAGCGTTTTTCTCTCATCGGGTTGAAGAGTCACAGAAGCACCCAGACTTTACGAGCCTTGGTAGCTAACCAAGGCAAGCAAGTGAGAAATTTTCCCAACACCTTTGGGACCGTGAAGCAGACTGATAAACACCATGTTCGCCGGTGGGCAGCGAGGACAACCCCAAATGAGACTTGCTATTTTAAGCCGAAAAAAATTGCCCAGAAAAAGTGGCCAACATTGAAAAACAACTACTTAGCAAGCTGGCAGGTGATTTGGGGTTTTTGAGTGGTTATCAGATCCAGTGATTTAAGATTCTTTTGGTCAGTCAAGAACTCACTGTCAAAAGTTGAGTCAAACTCAGCCAGTTCACAAACTCTGCGACTGGTTCCCTATGGTGCCATCGAATCATTCACAGTCGGACCTGCGGCCAGCCATTTTACACCGTTGCCAGGTCTATAGGAAGAGGGTGATCAAGGGTGAAATCATGCCTGGTCGGCCGTGGCAGAGGGGGGTCGAAGGGTGTTTTTTTTTTCATTGCCTGGGGCTTCGATGGTTTTGGGCACCACCGACCAGCAACAAAATTGGCTGAATTTCACAGGCCCTGGCAGCTGTTGAAAAAATGGAGTAGCAATGGACCCTTTTTTCAGCCGATTGTCATTTCTGGTATAACAGGTATAGCACCATCCCCAAATGCGGCTCAAATGTTAAAACCCATCTCCAAATCTCTTCCATGTGTCAGAATTGGAAGAGAAGAATCTTACAGAAAGCCTGCAAACTGCTGGGGAAAACACATGACTTGCTGATTTCTACAATTTCATGTGACCAATCCAATGGACATATCATGATCACAACCATGGTCAAGCCAACCATCACTAATTGCATCAGATATTCCACAGATTTCTACAACACGTCAACAAGTTTTGGCAGGGATCGACAAGTTTTTAGCCCATGACTACTATTCTTTTTTTTAATAATGTTTTTTTTCTCATCACTGGAGTTGCGTGTGAGATGCGGATACGGCATACTAAACGGCACCCCGTCAGGACATTTGTGCCTGGAAAGGATCACAAAATAGTCATTTTTTCGGGGGGTCCAGAATCATAAACCAGGTTCCAGAATTTTGACCCCTGCCTGACTTTCCTCGACTGACATGGAGGCTCTGCTTTTTTTTTTCCGCACGCACCCCAAGTGGAATCATCTTTTTTGTGATTTGCACCAGCTGCCTCACATATAGATAGTTGGTATTAGTTCGGCATTGGCATGATAAAATTCGGGGAAGTAACTAGTACTCGTAGTAGTAGTAGTAGTAGCAGTAGTAGTAGCAGTAGTAGTAGTAGCAGGAGTAGTAGTAGTAGTAGAAGTAGTAGTAGCAGTAGTAGCAGTAGTAGCAGTAATAGCAGTAGCAGTAGTAGTAGTAGCAGTAGCAGTAGTAGTAGTAGCAGTAGTAGCAGTAGTAGCAGTAGCAGTAGCAGCAGCAGCAGCAGTAGCAGTAGTAGTAGTAGCAGTAGCAGTAGCAGTAGCAGTAGCAGTAGAAGTAGAAGTAGTAGCAGTAGCAGCAGTAAAATGCGTGGCCCCCCATTGATGTTTGTTGTTTTATCACCCCCATAGTTACCATAGTTGAGCAAATAAAACTTGCGTCAACTGAGCGAGAAAAACCGGGGGCCTCACCTTGTTGGCTAAGAAAAATCGGGAAAGTCACCTTGAAACCTGGATGAGTTGTGCTGAAAATCTCGAAACAAATATCTCAGGTGCTTAAGTTCAGATTCCTTGTCGAAGCACAGTGGAATCAGGCGAGGATCCCGCCGCGACCGGTGAAGATTTCATGGTGGAATTCATCCAGATGACATGACAAAATGATAGCATGATACATGAATTATAATATCATGATATATCATGTTACTAATATATTATAGACTCAGATATCTTGTAACGATAACTATTGAATATTGACAGCATTAACAGCATTATATAATCATATTAAAAGACAAACAAGGGTAAACATATGGATATCGCAGGAATCGCAACTAGTTTTTTCTCCATGGCTTCCCCAGTTTTTTCCCACAGGCCCAACAACTGACTTCCAATTGCCAGGATAGGGCCACAGCTGAATTGCCAGGGTTTTCCATATGATTTTCATTAAATCCAGCTTGGATTGCCGAAGGGTATCATGGTCCAAAAATCAAGGTACCCTCTGGTTATTTAACATAGCCATGGAAAATGGCCCATTTATAGAGGGTTTACCTATTAAAAATGGTGATTTTCCATGGCAAACTGTTAAATAACCAAATGGTAAAACCTCAAACTACTGTACAATAAACAGTGGTTATGGTTTGCATTTTCCCATCCAGATGGCCATCGAATGAGGTTTTGAAATGCGGATTGCGACGGATTTGTAGCACAAAGCCATAGACTGAAGAGGTCATAATTGTGATCTCTAGATGTTGAACTAAATTTTCAATGGTGGGTGGGCTGGTTGAGCCCTTAAATTTTCCATCAAACATGACGGTCTACTATTTTATGAAAATGGTGGTGTTTGTGCTTCCATTTTCAGCATGGATCAGGTTAGTTAGGTGCTGGTTTTCGGGCGCCCGGAGCCCGATTTGGATGGTGCTCGTTGACATGCCGTTCAGTGGGGGTCTTCGCTGGTTTACAGGGTGGTGCCCCATAGTTAGCTAAGTTGGTTTATAAGTCCAATAACTATGGTTTATAGGTGATATATCTATAGTTAATGGGATTATAACCCACTTATAACTTGGGGGGCACTACCTTGTGGATGAACATAAACATCCATAAACATCCATAAAACCACCATAAAGCCACCATGTTTTGACAACGGCTCCCGGGATCATGTTTTCGGTCATTTGTCAATGGCGAAAACCAAGGGTTTTTTTGGGTCAGTTCGAGGATTTCCATGGTTTTTGGTACAGATGATTCCTGAACAAGTTCTAGAAATTGAATGGTGCTATCTGAAAATGAGATATACCCCCCAAAATAGCAATTTCATGGGAAGTATGATGGTTCACCAATGGATTTGGGATGCCACATTTTCAGACACTGACCCAGGCGGAAGATTTTTTTGCCTCAAAATCCACATTTTCTTGCTGGTTCAGTCCAATTTCTTGTAAGAGATGCATACAGTATGCTGTATATACATATATAATATATTTGTAATATAATATAATATAATATAATAATATATAATATATAATATAATAATATATAATATAATATAATATAATATATAATATAATATAATATAATATATAATATAATATAATATAATATAATATATAATATAATATAATATAATATAATATAATATAATATAATATATAATATAATATAATATAATATATAATATAATATAATATAATATACTCGTCCTCTAATATCCTATACTCAATCATCCTCTCCTCTACTATCCTTCTTGTCTCTCCACCCTCCTCTCCTCTCTTTGTACTATACTATCCTACATCGACTCTCTCCTTCCCACCTCTCCTCTCCTCCTCCTCGCTTTGTCATCTACCTTCCTCATACTCTCCTCTCCTTCTCTCTGTCCTCTCCATCTCATCTCCTTCCTCTCTCCTCGTCCTCCCCCTATCCCGCCTCTCTCTCGCTACTCTCTCTCTCCTCTCCTCCCCTCCCCTCTCCTCTCCCTCTCTTTGTCCTCTCCTCTCATTTTTGTCCTCTCCTCTCCTCTCTCTCCTTCTCCTCTCCTCCCCTCTCCTCTTCTCTCCTCTTCTCTCCTCTTCTCTCCTCTTCTCTCCTTTTCTCTCCTCTTCTCTCCTCTTCTCTCCTCTTCTCTCCTCTTCTCTCCTCGTCTCTCCTCTTCTCTCCTCTTCTCTCCTCTTCTCTCCTCTTCTCTCCTCTCCCCTCTTCTTCTTCCTCTTCCTCCCCCTCTCCTCTCCTCTCCCTCTCCTCTCCTCTCCTCCCCTCCCCTCTCCTCTCTTCTTCTCTCCTCTTCTCCCCTCTCCTCTCTTCTTCCCTCCTCTTCTCTCCTCTTCTCTCCTCTTCTCTCCTCTTCTTTCCTCTTCTCTCCTCTTCTCTCCTCTTCTCTCCTCTTCTCTCCTCTTCTCTCCTCTTCTCTCCTCTTCTCTCCTCTTCTCTCCTCCCCATCTCCTCTCCTACTCCTCCTATTTGTACCTCTCCTCTCCTCTCATCTCCTCTCCTCCTCCTACCTCTCTCCTCTCTCCTCTCCTACGCCTCGTCTGTTCCCTGTATTTGTTGGCTCTGCCGTGCGTGATCCATGTCGGGATGGTCCAGGTAGGTCCAGGTACACTGCCATAGCCTAAGGTCATATCCCCAAGATATCGCAAGATATTCCCATTAAAAATGGTGATTTATAGTGAGTTTTCCCATGAAAAATGGTGATTTATAGTGGGTTTTCCCATGAAAAATGGTGATTTTCCATAGCTATGTTGGTTTACCAGAGGGTATATAGTGCGATATGATCATAGAACTATTTGGAATTGATAATCTAAAACTATTTGGAATTGATATTCTATGTGATCATCTCAATTCCAACTAGTTTTTTCAGCATATTCTAAGCATATTTTGGAGTATCCAAACTATCCTCATCATCTTCCCATCATATTCCCAACTCCCAAACATACTGTATGTATGTATATTATATATACACACATAGAGATTCCCTTTCATCCAATATTATAGTATTCGGGGGGATAAATTATGACAATTCCCAAACATATTCACCAAAAAATCGATCTCCAAAGGCATATTTTCCCCAAATATCATGATCTCCAAACATATCTTGGGATTAAATGATTCTTATGACAATTCCGCCCTACAAATGAATAAATACATAAATACATAAATACAAAAATAAATAAATAAATAAATCAATAAATAAACAAATACATATATATATATATACATATAGATATATCTATTCATCATTTCTCATGATATTTTGGAGCAAATTGTTCCCATCAAACTTCGAATCAGATTCCCATCCCCAGATCTCCAACTCTTCCGAGGCTTTACCGCACGTGCGAACACATCAAATGTCCAGCGGGGTGCCCTGGGATCTTGGGCGTCTTGGAATGCCAATGAAAAACCGGGAGATCACCAGGAACATATGTGGATCTAAGGCAGAATGATCAGGTTTAGCCAAGATTTTTTTCGATAGAAGATGTTCAGTTTTAACCAGGAAAATATATAGGGATTTATTGATGTAATATATAACATAGAATCATCTTCAACCTCTAAGATGATACTTGAAATGTTGGATTTCCAGGGGTATCTCCATTTCCAGGAAATCGCCATGATTTCTAGGTGACCCTGCATTTGTTGGGATATTTTTCCCACAACTGTGGTGAAATATCATGTTAATTCATGTTACATAAGTGATATATCCACAAAACTGGAACTGCAGGCCCCCGGTGCCGACAGAAAAAAAACACAATTTTTTCCTCTGTTTTTTGGATGTCCAAAGATTGGAGACTCTTTTCGGATCCCCCTAGCTGCGGAGTGCATGGAGATCACCACTGGTCGATCTTCCATTCTCAGGTGAAAAGGCTTGAATCGCTGTGAAAAGTCAGACCCTTGTCTTTTGAATGAACTTTTCGGCCTCCCACAGATTTCAGGCTCACGAGTTCTCTTTGCTGGCGTCCTGAAACGGATTTTCAGCGGTGAATTTTTCAATCTTTTGCTCGTTTTTTTTTCCGGTCGTTTTGCGGTATTTTTTGCCAGCCCAGGATCGAAAAACACTTGAGGAAGATGAACCATGGATAAAAAATTGTCAGAACAACTGGGTTTTTGGGGTCCATACGAAATCAAGGGCATACCTGTGTCACATCGGCAATTTTGGGGGACTTTGAGGCAGGCAGGTTCAACTCTATGGCTGAATCAGCCAGGAATCAATAACTTGCAATACTGGGCCTCACAAGCTGCAAAGAGGCTACAACACATTTCAACTAGCCCCTGGGTTAAGATTTTATGTTGAATGCCAGTCAAACAAAGTTCAATATTTGGGGTACAAACATGTAGTTCACTATATTAAGCCAGAAGAAAAACTATGGCCCCTGCATCCCTGCTTGTGCCATGTCCATTTGCTTCGACGGAATGTGTCGAGCGACAAGTCCAGATTCTCAAAATCCCCCAAAGATTGAGCGACAACTGCTCGAGTTATGGTTTCACCCTCCATTTGCATGCTCCAAAAGGCACGATTCGAAAACAGATCGCGGAGTTTTTGTGTCTGGTGCCACAAAATGGCCGATGTTGGATCAACTTGACACAAATCAACATTGTTGGAGACCCAGGAAGAAAAGCCTAATTCATAAAGTGTATGAAACACACTGAATGGAATGTCAATAGTCAATTTGTGTATGGTTCATTTTTTAATTCTGTTAGCCGCATTGCACTAGGTATATCTAGGTATTCTAAAAAATCTTTGAAGTTTGTCTTCTGCCCATGTCGTATTTTCACTTCTTGATTTCTGGATCCGTGAAGTCTGTCTACATGACAGGGCTCTGCATCCAGGAATTGACTCCCATGAAATACATCCGTATGGACTCTTACATCTGGATGGTGGTTTGGAACATGGCTTTTATTTTTCCATATCTTGGGAATATATAATGATCCCAACTGACGTTCATATTTTTCAGAGGGGTAGGTATACCACCAACCAGTACATGTTTATAAGATATGAATCAGTGAAGCTATGGTTAGTTCATTGACATAGGAACACATAGTTCATTTACAAGCGATAGTTAGTTCATGACTCATGCTGTCACTATTATTTTTATTGACTCCGAAGCCTTCAGTTCGGTCAGTGGTCCATGTTGATCATGTTGGAGGATGGTCATCAATCCATTTTCATACAGGATGGCCCCCCCTAGTGATAAGTTGGTTTATAACCCCAGCAATATGTATTTATAAGTATCCTACACTATTGTTATTATAGTTACAAACCAACTTAGCTAACGAACTAGGGCCCCATCCTGTATTTTTTTTTTCGATCCACCCATCGATTACGGATTCACGGGGGTGGATGCCCACCCCACATGACTTTGGAATCTCATCTTTGTGAAAGGTGGATGCCCATCACGTTGCAAAAACACAACCCTTTCTTTATGTTCTTTTTTTTTGGGGGGGAGTGTTAATGGGAGATTCATCCCATTTAGAATGAGATTGGGTAATGATGGGATTTTTCTACCCAGAAACTGAGGGTAAGTGCTGAGACCCAGCATCGACGCGGACGGCTCTTTGGCTCTGAGAGATCTTTTTGGGGTTAGCTAAGTGCTGCCCACAGGTTAGCTAAATTGGTTTGTAACTCTACTTTGCAGGCTTTATCAGTGATCTACATATCTATATATCTATATATATATATATACACTCATAGAATCATAATATAAGTATACCCGATAGATAGATAGATGGATAGATAGATAGATAGATGGATAGATAGCCAGATGGTTTGCAATGAAACTTCTTGCTGGGAAGCATCACATTCTGCAGGAAGTGGTGATTTTTCGGAAGTCCAACCCCAGCCGAATGAAACCCGGATCACCCCCCCCGTCCGGTCGACCCCTGGGCCACGGAGTGAGTAGTTGTCGCCATGGCAAAATCCCGAGGTGCGCAAAGGAACCGTCTTCTGGAAACATCATGAACCCCCCCAAAGATGTGATTTGGCCGCTCTTCCGGCTCCAAAATTTTGGGCTTGCAGATGTTTTTTCTGGGCACAAAATGTGTGACTTTCCGCCGTTGTGAATCGCTGTGTGAAGCTTTCCGCGAATCACCAGTTACAAAGTGAAGTGATCCTTCTAGATGTTTCTGGTTGGGTAGTTCCATTCACCATAGACGTCAATCAACTGGCTGGTTGATTCATTTGTTTGGAGTGTTTAATTGGATGTCCCACACTGTGGGGCAGCTGATTCCGTTGAGGTCATCGTCTACAATAGGCTGTATATAATTATATATATATAATGTCTTAAAATGTGGCAAACCCAATTTTTATAGACCTCTAATTGGCTATGTATCCCCCACATTTAGATCACCAGCCATCTGTGGAGTCTCCGATCTCGCCATCGAGGTCGTCCTTCTGCTCTCTTGCTGATGCTCTTGGGAGGTGCCGTGGCTGCTGCTGCGCGAAAAGCAAACGACCGAAGCCTGGGAATCATGGTGAATGTATAGGGAAATCATCCCCTTTTATGGCCCCACTATTCAGGCGATGGACCGGTGTCTATCCATTCGGGGGCATGGGCCGGGAAAGGGAAGTTTTTAGTGGCCCAACTCAGGTGAGTGAAATTAAACAAAATTTACCCAGAATGGGATAATCCAGCCATGTTTGACTACCGGAGGCTTAACAGTCGAAGAATGGTGCTGGAACCATAGGGGGATTTGACCAAACACATGTTGATTCGAAAAAACAACCTGGGTGAGCCTTCGCCGTCTAGGATGATAAAGCCTGGCATGGAATGGGCTTCTCAAACTTGCAGCACCATCGGTAAGGGCGTTCACTCCCTGGTGTTTAAGGTGTGGGTCCAGTTCTCGTTTGACCACATTTGGCTCTAGTTGCTAGCCAATCATTTTTTTTGCTGCCCCTCCCAAAAATAGGGATTTTTATTCCACACCCTGAGCTTTTCGCCAACCAGCGTTGCTTCACCTCACCTTGAATTGGCTGCAGAAGAAGATGCTTGCGGCGCATTCTCCACTTGCTCTCGTGGTGTTGTGATACAGAGGTTTGTTTGAATCCATTCTGAGCAGACAGAACCTCTTCCGGCCAAAAAAACGGCTGCTGTCTTTCGCTTGCTTGTTTGCATGTCAGAGCAACTAGAGACAAACGCACTTGAACAGATCGGGATGTAGCATGACGTAGCCAATGTAGCTAGTAGGACTAGCTAAAGCTAACCAGGTAGGAGTCTTGTTGCTTGGTGCAAAAAAGGTACCTTTTTTGGGCGATGTCATGGTTTCCCAGGGATCATCCCAATCCAGGCCTCACTTTCTGCGGCGAGCAGCATGTGAGGAGCCGCCCCCCGGACGACCCGGGACGACCCGGGACGACCCGACTGTGACGAAGTGGGATGATCCAAAAAGCCATGGTTTTCCAATGGCGTTTGGAGCTTGAACCCCCCTTCATTGAGGGGGGGATGTTCGTGGAGACACATTTATTGGCATTATTCGCAAATGATGTTTATGGTTATTTTCATTTTTTTTCCGAAAAAGACAAACACAAAACAACTGTGAGATAGATGGATGGCCTTAGACTTTCGGTTTCCATGGCCTTTTCACGAAATCTTACACCGATGCTGCCCCAGTAAAACTTTGATTGGTTTAGTTTAGTTTTAGCTTTACCCCAAAGACTATAGAAAACTTTGCCATATCTATATATGGTATATAAACTACTGGTACTATATGATTCTATTGACTACTATATAATTCTATGGTTTATAGTTTATGGTACTTAGATGGTATATAGGATACAAATTCGATATATCTATATACCATAAACCATAGAATTCACTGAGTGAACTAAACCAGCTCAGCTATCTCAATCACCACTAAACCACCATTAGATCACATCAAACCACCACTAAGTCACCATTAAATCACTTCGGGCTGCCACCTGGGACTTTGCAGAGGAGACGAGCTGTGCCAAGGGCTGCCTTGCAGGTGCGAAACGATCTGGGATAGGGCGGATTGAGAGAGTTCTTCCCGGGTAAAGATGAAGGTATTTTCTGGTGGTTTCAAACACTATATATATATATATACGTATATATATATATTTATCCATATATACACATGTATATAAATAGATAGGTAGATAGGTAGATAGGAAGATAGGTCGCTAGGTCGCTAGGTCCATAGATAGATAGATGGATGGATGGATAGATAGATAGACAATTGTTTGATAGATAGATATTTGTTATAAGCAGAAAGATACGGAGTGATGATAGAAGATGCCTTTCATATTGTTTCTTTATGGTGTTTTCCCATCACCATCCAGATGTCTTTTTTAGAGGGGTAGAGTGGGCATTGGATGTTGGGATGTTCACCTTATGCCTCGTAATGAAGTGTTTTGTTGCCACTTGATCTCTCAATCTTGGTATCCTGGAAGTGATAGGATGCCCTCAGAATGCATTTTATGGTCGCAGCGGTTGAGTGGTCATTTCAGAGAGTTATTGGTTTCTTTTTCACCAGTTCATCAACACCAAACCTGGGGCAAAAACGGAAGAAACCAATGGGAACCTCAGCTTGGAGTCCAATGATTTGGAAAGCCACTGGATTGGGTCAACCGATTGGTATATTTAGTACAACCGACTGGATAAAGTGAACTATAGCCAGCGAAGGGTTGGAAATGTGTAACCAGTGGAAGTATCAAAAAAAATCAGCCTCAAAGTGGTTGACCCCATGTTGGAGACCTCTTGGGGACGCCAACGATAAGGACCTCACTCGCGAGAAGGTTTCGGAGCTGAAGGCTACTTTCGGCTACACGAAAAAGGGCATGGGATGTATGTTGATATAGTTGGGATAATAATTGGGATTACCATCTGGTTATTTAACATAGCCATGGAAAATCACCATTTTTGATAGGTAAACCATCTATAAATGGGCCATTTTCCATGGCTATGTTAAATAACCAGAGGGTATACTTGAGATAATTTTTGGGATAATCATTGGATATCATTGGGAGATAATATTTTTGGATAATAATAGGGATAATATTGGGAGATAATATTTTTGGGATAATCGTAATAGGGATAAGAGTTTTTTTTGTGGCAGGATATCATTGGATTAGAAGGTGAGGTCCCAGTGATGTGTTTAGATTCAGCCCATGAATAGTTCGCAGCGTCAAGACCGGTTGGAACATCCATTGCCGCCCCTTGATTGTTCTCAGGGGGTTTATACTACCAAGTTTTTTAAAAGGGGAATTGCAGCATGATTCGATCGGAATTTCGGATGCCGTTTCTAGGTCAATTGACATTTGTGCTGCTGGTGAAGTTAGAAGCCCAATTTGGGATAAAGTGGATAAAGCAACTCCAATTGTCTGTTGGTTTTGTAACCAAAATCACAGGGTCCCATGTCTATGGTGAGTTCACTTAAACTAATGGGCGAGTTCGTTTTTTCAAGCCGCGCCCTCGATGGCCGCTGCCAGCGCGCCCAGCGCGCCCCTGCGTGTAGTGATCATCGGTGCTGGCGTGGCGGGGCTCAGCGCAGCGTCGTGCCTGAAAGATGCGAAGTTTTGGAAAAGCAAGGGCCACTTCAACGAAGCTCCAGAGGTTGAGGCGCAACATTTCTTTTTTTAGAGGAACAAAGTATGGGAAGAAGGGTTGATGTTTTGTTTGCCTCCTGGCTGATACTTGGGAATCACCACCCATTACCAACCATTATAATAACTGTCCAACTTACTCGGAATGAGACGTTACTTGGCTGTGTATCGCAGGAACTTCCTGTTTAAATAATCCATTAAAGATGATTAAACTATTTTCAAGAAAACACATTGTACAAGTGGGATATTCAATTACCAGTAGTACTGCACAAGGCGCTGGCGGAAGTTTCAAAAATAGAAAACCTATAGGAGAGGTTGGTTGTTGTGAATCACGGATGGCAGAGCGAATCCACTGATGGACCGACAGGGGCTTGGAGTTGTGTTTTTTGGAGTGGTTGCAATGGTTGCAGTGGTCACCTCACCACAACTGCTGGATGTAGTGTGGTGTAACGCAGTTGTAGTTGTAGTTGTGGTGTAGTGGAGTTGTAGTTGTAGTGTAGTGTAATTAGTGTAGTGTAGCGTAGTGCAATGTAGTGGTAGTTGTAGTTGCAGTTGTAGTTGTAGTGTAATGTAATGTAACTAGTGTAGTGTAGTGCAGTATTGTGTATATAATGTGGTGTAGTTGTAGTTGCATTCGTACTCGTACTTGTAGCGTGCTGCAATGTAATTATTGTAGTGTAGTGTAATGTAGTGTAGTTGTAATTGTAGTTGCAGCTGTGGTAGTAGTAGTAGTAGTAGCAGCAGTAGTAGTAGTAGTAGCAGTAGTAGTAGTAGTAGTCGTAGGAGTAGTAGTAGTAGTAGTAGTAGTCGTCGTAGGAGTAGTAGTAGTAGTCGTAGGAGTAGTAGTAGTAGTAGTAGTAGTAGTAGTAGTAGTAGTAGTAGTAGTAGTAAGTAGTAGTAGCAGCAGTAGTAGTAGTAGCAGCAGCAGTAGTAGTAGTAGTAGCAGTAGTAGTAGTAGTAGTAGTCGTAGGAGTAGTAGTAGTAGTAAGTAGTAGTAGTAGTAAGTAAGTAAGTAAGTAAGAAAGTAAGTAAGTAAGTAAGTAAGTAGTTAAGTAAGTAGTAGTAAGTAAGTAGTAGTAAGTAAGTAGTAGTAAGTAAGTAGTAGTAAGTAAGTAGTAGTAAGTAAGTAGTAGTAAGTAAGTAGTAGTAGTAAGTAAGTAGTAGTAGTAAGTAAGTAGTAGTAGTAAGTAAGTAGTAGTAGTAAGTAAGTAGTAGTAGTAAGTAAGTAGTAGTAGTAGTAAGTAAGTAGTAGTAGTAAGTAAGTAGTAGTAGTAAGTAAGTAGTAGTAGTAAGTAAGTAGTAGCAGTAAGTAAGTAGTAGCAGTAAGTAAGTAGTAGCAGTAAGTAAGTAGTAGCAGTAAGTAAGTAGTAGCAGTAAGTAAGTAGTAGTAGTAAGTAAGTAGTAGTAGTAAGTAAGTAGTAGTAGTTAGTAAGTAGTAGTAGTTAGTAAGTAGTAGTAGTTAGTAAGTAGTAGTAGTTAGTAAGTAGTAGTAGTTAGTAAGTAGTAGTAGTTAGTAAGTAGTAGTAGTTAGTAAGTAGTAGTAGTTAGTAAGTAGTAGTAGTTAGTAAGTAGTAGTAGTTAGTAAGTAGTAGTAGTTAGTAAGTAGTAGTAGTAAGTAAGTAGTAGTAAGTAAGTAGTAGTAGTAAGTAAGTAGTAAGTAGTAAGTAGGTAGTAAGTAGTAAGTAGGTAGTAAGTAGTAAGTAGGTAGTAAGTAGTAAGTAGGTAGTAAGTAGTAAGTAGGTAGTAAGTAGTAAGTAGGTAGTAAGTAGTAAGTAGGTAGTAAGTAGTAAGTAGTTAGTAAGTAGTAAGTAGTTAGTAAGTAGTAAGTAGTTAGTAAGTAGTAAGTAGTTAGTAAGTAGTAAGTAGTTAGTAAGTAGTAAGTAGTTAGTAAGTAGTAAGTAGTTAGTAAGTAGTAAGTAGTTAGTAAGTAGTAAGTAGTTAGTAAGTAGTAAGTAGGTAGTAAGTAGTAAGTAGTAAGTAGTAAGTAGTAAGTAGTAAGTAGTAAGTAGTAAGTAGTAAGTAGTAAGTAGTAAGTAGTAAGTAGTAAGTAGTAAGTAGTAAGTAGTAAGTAGTAGTTAGTAAGTAGTAAGTAGTTAGTAAGTAGTAAGTAGTTAGTAAGTAGTAAGTAGTTAGTAAGTAGTAAGTAGTTAGTAAGTAGTAGTAGTTAGTAAGTAGTAGTAGTTAGTAAGTAGTAGTAGTTAGTAAGTAGTAGTAGTTAGTAAGTAGTAAGACTCCACCCTGCCTTCACATTTCTTAGGGTAGTAAGTAGTAAGTAGGTAGTAAGTAGTAAGTAGTTAGTAAGTAGTAAGTAGTTAGTAAGTAGTAAGTAGTTAGTAAGTAGTAAGTAGTTAGTAAGTAGTAAGTAGTTAGTAAGTAGTAAGTAGTTAGTAAGTAGTAAGTAGTTAGTAAGTAGTAAGTAGTTAGTAAGTAGTAAGTAGTTAGTAAGTAGTAAGTAGGTAGTAAGTAGTAAGTAGTAAGTAGTAAGTAGTAAGTAGTAAGTAGTAAGTAGTAAGTAGTAAGTAGTAAGTAGTAAGTAGTAAGTAGTAAGTAGTAAGTAGTAAGTAGTAAGTAGTAGTTAGTAAGTAGTAAGTAGTTAGTAAGTAGTAAGTAGTTAGTAAGTAGTAAGTAGTTAGTAAGTAGTAAGTAGTTAGTAAGTAGTAGTAGTTAGTAAGTAGTAGTAGTTAGTAAGTAGTAGTAGTTAGTAAGTAGTAGTAGTTAGTAAGTAGTAGTAGTTAGTACGTAGTAGTAGTTAGTACGTAGTAGTAGTTAGTAAGTAGTAGTAGTTAGTAAGTAGTAGTAGTTAGTAAGTAGTAGGTAGTAAGTAGTAAGTAGTAGTAGTTAGTAAGTAGTAGTAGTTAGTAAGTAGTAGTAGTTAGTAAGTAGTAGGTAGTAAGTAGTAGGTAGTAGGTAGTAGGTAGTAGGTAGTAGGTAGTAGGTAGTAGGTAGTAGGTAGTAAGTAGTAGGTAGTAAGTAGTAGGTAGTAAGTAGTAGGTAGTAAGTAGTAAGTAGTAAGTAGTAAGTAGTAAGTAGTAAGTAGTAAGTAGTAGTAGTAGTAGTAGTAGTAGTAGTAGTAGTAGTAGTAAGTAGTAAGTAGTAAGTAGTAAGTAGTAAGTAGTAAGTAGTAAGTAGGAAGTAGGAAGTAGTAAGTAGTAAGTAGTAAGTAGTAAGTAGTAAGTAGTAAGTAGTAAGTAGTACGTAGTAAGTAGTAAGTAGTAAGTAGTAAGTAGTAAGTAGTAAGTAGTAAGTAGTAAGTAGTAAGTAGTAAGTAGTAAGTAGTAAGTAGTAAGTAGTAAGTAGGTAGTAGTAAGTAGGTAGTAGTAAGTAGTAAGTAGGTAGTAGTAGTAGTAGTAGTAGTAGTAGTAGTAGTGGTAGTAGTAGTAGTAGTAGCAGGAGGAGTAGTAGTAGTAGTAGCAGTAGTAGTAGCAGTAGTAGTAGCAGTAGTAGTAGTAGTAGTAGTCGTCGTAGTAGTAGTCGTAGTAGTAGTAGTCGTAGTAGTAGTAGTAGTCGTCGTAGGAGTAGTAGTAGTATTCGTAGGAGTAGTAGTAGTAATAGTAGTAAGTAGTAGTAGCAGCAGTAGTAGTAGTAGCAGCAGTAGTAGTAGTAGTAGCAGTAGTAGTCGTAGGAGTAGTAGTAGTAGTAGCAGTAGTAGTAGTAGTAGCCTCCATCGTTTTCTTTTCCTTTTTTTAAATTTCATTTCTCTCCAAAGCGAGAGACAAATGGTCACGAACTCTGCTATGCGTCACGGGACGATCTCCTTCTGGATATTGTCTCCCTTTTTTTCTTTTCACCATGTTTCGGTGGTTTGGGTTTCACCTTGCTCGTTCCACCCAGGTGTAGAAGGTGCTGGTTAGTAGCTGATCCTTCAGCCAGCAGATTCTCCTGTTTTGTTCATTTTCTCATTTACCATTTTGTTTCTCCAGAGGCTGACGGAAAGCTGCTGCTGACGTGTAGTTCGATATGAACTGCATAGCGCTGTTGCAAAACAAATATAGTTAGATAGATGGATGGATGGATGGATGGATGGATGGATAGAAAGTTCGATAGATAGATAGATAGATGTATATATATACATTTATGCTGTATATGTATATATATATAATTTACATACATACATATTGGCATGTATGTAAATCGTCATAAAACCACTCCGCGGACACAAGATTTCATGGTGTTTTGAGGTGGTGGTTCTCGAAGCCCGTGATCGATTGGGCGGCAGAATCTGCACGGAGCACTTTGCCGACGGCACTGCTGTGGCTGATCTAATCAGCCGTATTTTCCAATTTTTGCCTGAAAATGGGGGCATTTGCTGGAGGTCAATCCATATCCATGGGTACCTTTGGATGAAACCAACTATCTGCTAGCCACCTATTGTAAACATTTTTCTTTTAAAATGAGGTTTAAAATTCCACATGTCATCAGGGAATGGGACTAAACCAACAAAACCGACTTGGGCATCTGAACAGAAAATTGCATATGCAAACAACAAAGGTGGACAGAACCAATAAAATCCGGCATGGACCAGACCAAAAAAAGGCAGATCAACCTGGCTGAAGGTGGACCCTATACAGGGATATACCTGATTCTCGTGCCATGTTTCGACTTTCGCGGAAGATCCACATGGGTTGCTACACGCATAGATGCTTCTCTTTTTATCGCCGCACAGTAGAAAGTGTGGTATACACTGCCCGAGTGTCTTGATGAACTAGGTGGACCTGGGTGCTGCATGGTTGCACGGCAACTCCGCGTCCAATCCCTTGCTACGTCTGTCAAAGCTCTGCGGAGCGGAATTGGTGGAGCCGCTTGGGCGGTTGGCAATGGAAAAATCGATGATCAATAATTCAAAACTAGGTGTTTAAGCAGCAAACCTGGGGTTTTAACCAGCAAACATGGGGGGTTCAGCCACCAAAACATCTAGGTTTAACAAGCAAAACTTTGGTTTCAACGAGCAAAAGATGCCGGAATAATCAGCAAACATGGGGTTTCAGCCAGAAGCAGGCGGATTTTACCAGCAAAGATGGGAGTTCCACAATCCAAAACCATGGTTTAACCAGCAATCATGAAAATTTAAGATGGTTCGTGATGGGAAACTGGTAGTGAACCATGGCGTAGAGATTATGGCAATTCGCAGGGTATTGACAGTAAATACACGTAAATACGCACATTGATGGGAATCTAACCTTGGAGGAACATTGCCGGTCTCCTCTTCATAAATCTTTTTCCCATCAAAATGGTCATTTCCCAAGGCCATGTTTGTCAGAGCCTCTTCAATTTCTCCCGGAACTCGTTAGACTTGATTCTGATCAAATTTGGTTGCCCCTGAGAACCATCAACAAATTGAAGTTGATAGTAGTTTTTGGAATCCGATCAAAATAAACTTGGTTTATCTGATATAGTTTTGGATTCCCATCAACAAATCACCAAACATAGAAGTCGACCTCCCGTCGTGCAACTGGAGTCCCTATCGCTCAAGTTTTGTAGTCGAGTAATCAATCGCTGTACATGGTTAGGCTAAAAACATGGTAAAAGTAAAACTGGTCCACTTACCAGCCACAAATTATTTTTGTTGGCAGGTGTCTTTCAGATTTACCATGTAAAAATTATCAACATGGTACCAACATAATAGTTCCATTCAGAAAGTCTTTTGATAGTTGTTCCATTCACCATGCGTAGTTCCAACATGTTCCAACTATCAACTTTGCGCTGAGGACAGACTGGGACAATGCCTTGGTTTTCGAAGCAGCTGGTTCAGAGACTTGCAGCACTTGGCAAACTTTTCGTTTGGGTTTTTAACAACGCCCCAAATCATGAGTTGATATAGTTATATAATTCATCTTATTTTCTAATAATTCATCTTATTTCTAACTGTTTTAAAGATACCAACTGTTAAATAACTAAATTAACATAAATATATAACTGGATTGAACTTTTTGGAAAACTATGATTAATATATATATATGAGCAGTTTGAATATTTTAACTATTTTAATTTATCTGTTTTGGCTGACGTAGGGATACAAATCGGTTTGTATGAACATGTTGTACCCCTCAATCAGTTGATATAGTTGGACCACGGCCTTTAGACGGCCGTGGTGTTTTGTTGTTGGGGTGGGGTGGGGTGGGGTAGGGCATGTATAAACGTTCATGTGAACTTGCACATGAAGTAGATGCTAGGCCGTGGCTGTCGGTTGGAGCATGTATTCCTGGGTGGGGGGTCGGGTGGGACAACAACATCACTGGCTCTCTCACACACATACGTCATGCTACGCTACCGCACGCTCTCTTGGACTTCCACGCATGCGTCATGCTACGCTACTGTAGGTTCTCTTGGACTTCCGCGCATACGTCATGCTACGCTACTGTAGTTCTCTTGGGCTTCCATACGTCATGCTACGCTACTGTACGTTCTCTTGGACTTCCACGCATACATCATGCGACGCTACTGTACGTTCTCTTGGACTTCCACGTGTACGTCATGCTACGCTACTGGACGTTGTCTTGGACTTCCATGCATACGTCATGTTCGCTACTGTACATTCTCTTGGACTTTCAAGCATACGTCATGCTACGCTACTGTACGTTGTCTTGGACTTACACACACACACGTCATCCTGCGCTACTGTACGTTCTCTTGGACTCGCACACACACGTCATGCTACGCTACTGTCGTTCTCTTGGACTTCCACACATACGTCATGTTACGCTACTGTACGTTCTCTTGGACTTCCACGCATGCGTCAGGCTACGCTACTGTACGTTCTCTTGGACTTCCATGCATACGTCATGTTCGCTACCGTACATTCTCTTGGACTTTCATGCATACGTCATGCTACGCTGCTGTAGGTTCTCTCAGACTTCCATGCATATGTCATGCTACGCTACTGGACGTTGTCTTGAACTTCCACACAAAGGTCATGCTACGCTACTGTACTGAATATAGAAAAGGTTCTCGGAAGAACTTGAAGCGCTGCTGTGAAGAAAAGATGGCTGAACAATTGTGAAAACGAATTAGTTGGGGGCTTTGAATGAAACAGGTTTCGTGTAGGCGAAATGACTGTTTTCATTTTTCTGCTTGGAACTAAGGCGCGGCCTTTACACTAAAATCACACGAATTCCTATTGGCACGAGCACATCAAACATGATCAACAACATCCCATGAATACACTATTTTTCAAAGAGGGTTACGGCTCATAATCATGGGATTTGACGACAAAAACATGGGGAAACCATGTTGGCAAGCAATTAATCAAAAATGATGGAAAACATAGAAAGTATCATCCTGCTAGTCGACGGCCAGAGCATATCGCACATTTTGTGTGGGTCCAAAGCGGCATAGAGGTTTGACCAACTACCAACTTCCCGACACCCGCAACGGTAGGAGAAGGAACCAGAGGTAAAGATGGAAAAGATCAGCGACGAGAAGTTGAAAAAGGCGCAGTCTTGGCGTAGTTTTTTGAGCAAATTGTCGCTGAGTGGAGAACGTCATGGTTTAAAAATCAGGATTTAACCATCAAAATTGAAGATAATCATCTGTAAATGGTGATATAGTGGGAAAATATTGGGATAGACCCCAATAATCTGATATACGGGGGTTCTTTGAAATTGGGGCATACCTTTGGCAATTCTGAGAGGGGAAATGGTGACAATCGGAATTGGGGTTGCGCCATTTTCAGACAGACCCATATCTTAAGGGTACGGTTGAAGCGAATGTGATTGGTTTAACGGAAAACCTACAGGAAACCATTGTTTTTACCATTAAATAAGGGGTTTTCTGTAAAAATTCCCTTAAACCAGTCCAATGAGAATGGAAAGGAGGCATTCGATCTCTATGGGTCCAGCTGAGATATGACAGGCATGAAGGCGATCCCATGATTGGGGAGTCTCTCTGGATTGGGAAGTTATAGGTGTTTTTCGGGAGCCCGGTAAATCAAGTTGATGAAAAACCTAGATCCGTGATTACTGTATTCAAATCAGGTACTTATCCTGCACTCCTCATCCTCGCCAAAGTCCCCTCATCATCATCATCATCGTCATCATCACCATCATCAGCATCATCATCACCATCACCATCATCATCATAATCATCATCATCACCATCATCATCATCATCATCATCCTCAAAGCCATCGTCATCATCATTGTCATTGTCATTGTCATTGTTATCGTCATCGTCATCGTCATCGTCATCAGCATCATCGTCGCCGTCGTTGTCGTCCTCATCGTCATCGTCATCGTCATCGTCATCATCATCATCATCATCATCATCATCATCATCATCATCATCATCTTCCTCAAAGCCATCGTCATCATCATTGTCATTGTCATCGTCATCAGCATCATCGACGCCGTTGTTGTCGTCGTCGTCGTCATCATCATCATCATCATCCTCAAAGCCATCGTCATCATCAATGTCATTGTCATTGTTATCGTCATCGCCATCGTCATCGTCATCATCATTGTCATTGTCATTGTTATCGTCATCGTCATTGTCATCATCAGCATCATCATCATCATTATCATCATCATCATCATCCTCATCCTCATCCTCAAAGCCATCGTCATCATCATTGTCATTGTCACTGTTATCGTCATCGACATTGTCATCATCATCAGCATCATCGTCGCCGTCGTTGTCGTCGTCGTCATCATCATCATCATCCTCAAAGCCATCGTCATCATCATTGTCATTGTCATTGTTATCGTCATCGTCATCGTCATCGTCATCAGCATCATCGTCGCCGTCGTTGTCGTCGTCATCGTTATCGTCATCATCATCATCATCATCATCATCATCATCATCATCATCTTCCTCAAAGCCATCGTCATCATCATTGTCATTGTCATTGTCATTGTTATCGTCATCGTCATCGTCATCGTCATCAGCATCATTGTCGCCGTCGTTGTCGTCGTCATCGTCATCGTCATCATCATCATCATCATCATCTTCAGCTTGGTGAAGTAAATCTTCGATGTTCCGGATGATATGATGTTCATTCTAGCAAACTTCCCATCGCATTTACCGACGAATACTGGGATGGCTCAGCTGACGTGTATAGTCCCCTCCAGCCGCGAGTGACTTCTGGATTTGCACCGGACGGAAACGTACACACATATACCTATTATGTCATATGTGCATAGAGTGTAAATACATATATGTTAATATCACATAATATACACGTATTCTTTGTCCAGATTTTGGACTGACATATTGCAAACCAAAATAAACAGTAGTTGCTGGTCATACTACCAGTGTTCGTTGCTTCGTATTCGGAAGGTTTGTTTTCTTATCTCTTATCCGCATGCTTGGGGTTCTTTCCACGCTTGTATCCCCGTTTGAGGAGTCGCACCCTTCAATTTCCAGATTCCAGACAGTTTCTTGCCAGATCTCCCATATTTATTTGCATACCCCTGCTTTTGCTAAGCTCACCCCTCTTCTTTGCTACTCCGGAGTCATTGGCCTTTGTTGGTTATGAGATTTGCTGGTCATATTCTCCTTCATTTTTCCTTCTCTTTTCTCTTCGTTTCCTCTTCTTTTCCAGTTTTATGTTGTTTGTTTTGCCTGCTTCCACCGCCATTGAAATGTCTTACAAAACTCTCAAAACGCCGCCGCAAATTTGCCACTGTCAGGTGGAACACATCTTTTCGACTTTGATGAAACTCTACAAGACTAAGCAGCACGCTGACCGCAAAGCTGCCACGGGTGCCTCGTGTTTGGGTCCCATCTCCCTTGTGTGGTGTGGACGGAGTTTTTGGTCGAAAATTGAGGGGTAACCCTGTTGTTGAAGAGCCTTTCTGGCTAAACGATTAAAAAATGGTGCACTTAAACGGTCCAAAACTTGCACCGTGCTTTTGTGTTTTGACATTGCTTGTTTTCTCCCAAGAATTGTGGTTACAACACGTATACATTGTCAGCGTTCATGTTGATGTATTTATCATGCAGCTACTGTATTTTGTTTATTGGTGATGCACCAGCCCTTCGAGAAACTGAGATAAAAGTGGCCTTGGAAACCATCTTCCCACCTTTTCTGGTCGGGTGTGGGTACAGTTTTGTTTCCCCCCGGGGCCCCCGTCTCAGGTGAATCTAAAGATCGGAGTTTGATGGCAACGCTACAAGAGCTCAAGTCGAAGAAATTCAAGGCCCGAGATTGCAAAGGAAAAACCGAACCATGCCGGAAATCCCTAGTGTCCTGAAAGAGCCTGGCAGATGCCGCTATCAAATATACAGTATACATATAATTATGTATATAGATACACACACACATATATATATATGTATGTATGTATGTATGTATGTAATGTAATGTAATGTAATGTAATGTAATGTAATGTAATGTAATGTAATGTAATATATGTATGTATGTATGTAATGTAATGTAATGTAATGTAATGTAATGTAATGTAATGTAATGTATGTAATGTAATGTAATGTAATGTAATGTAATGTAATATATGTATGTATGTATGTATGTAATGTAATGTAACGTAATGTAATGTAATGTAATGTAATGTAATGTATGTATGTAATGTAATGTAATGTAATGTAATGTAATGTAATGTAATGTATGTATGTATGTATGTATGTATGTATGTATGTATGTATGTATGTATGTATGTATGTATGTATGTATGTATGTATGTATGTATGTATGTATGTATGTATGTATGTAGTATGTATGTATGTATGTATGTATGTATGTATGTATGTATGTATGTATGTATGTATGTATGTATGTATGTATGTATGTATGTATGTGTGTGTATTTTTACCGAATAAAAATGGACAAAATATAGAAAATACAGAGAAGCAAACCAGCAAAATCCAAGCCAGATGCCCCGGTTCTCAGGGGATCGACAGCTTGGACGAGCGACACCTGGCTGCGCAGAATTCGACCGAGAATGGCTTAGATTTTTTTGGTTCCTTTAAAAAAGAACACGACCTATGGGTCAATGGATCTAATGGGATTCAATGGGATCTAATGGATCATTTTTTCATGGATCTAATGGGATTTTCGGGTCAAAAGTGATCCAGCGCTTGGGTGGCAAGCTCACAAATCATGCTTCGGCGTTTTTTTTGACTTTCGCAAGTCCTTCCCAGCCATCTCAATCTGTATGTACTTTAAGGGAAAATAACAAGACCCGAAAGAAGGTATATGAAACCCATAGTTCCGTGAAGGCTTTCCCATACATGTTATTTATAGTGTCGGTTTTCTTGCATCGAAATCCCAAATCTTGTTCACGAACTCTTCAATTTCATCATAAGGACATCAACTTTACAGTAGCAAAAATCTGGGACTCAAATTTGGATGGATACAATACCGCTGTTGCGTTTGATTGTCTCCATTTTGGATTTTTGAATCCCTCATTTTTGACCATGTCCAAGCTTTGAAGCCAGAAAACTTCATGAAACCCCGTCAAACATAGTGCATTTTTTTTTGCAAAAAACCCAGGTGCAGTGAAGGGCTTTTGCCATGTGGATTTGTCCAAAAATGGGGTTTGGTCCACACATGGTGTGCCCAGTTGGCCCCGTATTGTTGATGTTCACAACCACCACCATGTTGCTTTCTCAAACCGCCAATCTTAGGAGTTAATTTAGAACTGCGTATAACTGATGTTTTGAGTTGAAGCACTATTGAACGACTATTTGATTGGCACTTTCCCACGTAACCACGAAATCCACGGTCTTCCCTAACAACGGCGTCCGTGTCCCGCGGTCGTTTGAGGTACCCGGCTGCTGCTGTTGTCGGAGCTGGATGCTGTCACGGAGCACGACTATGCGGCGACGCCGGGGGAATTGAGCACGACCTGGTGGGATGAAGACGAGGCTGGGGACCATACATCATGGCGGGCTTGTCGATGTGCGACAAGTCCGTCTGAACGTAGTTTGTCTCATGGGTATGTCGTTGGATTGGTTTCAAGAAAAATGTACAGGAAACCTCTCCAAGTAGAGCCCGGGCAAGCCGGGTGACGGAAGTTTCGAGAGAGGGAAGAACCTATAAAGACAAGGGAGAGGCTATAGAAACGGCCCCTGACCGCCTGGCTGGCACGGCCGTCCACTGCGTGATCTCTTGGAAGTCTTTGTCCTTGACATTTCTTGCTCTCGGCATCTTTGCCTGATGCTGCCACTTTCTCTTGATCCGGCTTGCTCCTGACATGTCTGAATCTTGACAGCCCTTCTTGTCGACAGCTTTGAAGGCAGAGGCTTGGCACACTCTTCTCTCCTGACAAGCTTTTTCTCATGTCATCGCTGTCTCTTGAAACCGATGTTGTTTCAGCCGCTTTCCGTTGACGCCTCTTTCTCTTGCCATCCTTGTCTTTGGGCATCTCTTTTTCTTGAGACCTTCTTCTGTTGACATTCTCTTCTCTCCACATCTCATTCTCTTGACAGGGTTTTCGCTTGGCACCATTTTCTTGTTTCCTGTTGTTTCACACTATTATTTTGAGACCAAATTGTTTCCTTTGACACCTTATGTCTTGACATCTCCTTTGTCTTGAGTCCTTTTTTCATTCTCACATCTCTTTCTTTTGACATTTTCGTACCTTGCGAACACAATTTATCCTGTGGACTACAGGACTTGCACAAAGCCCTTCCTGTACCACAAAGCCTTCCCAAAGTATTTCCCAGTACTACTTCCTACTACAAAGCTTGCACGAAGTACTTCCCAGCACGACTTCGTACTACCAAGCTTGCACAAAGTACTCCCCAGTACTACTTCGTACTACAAAGCTTGCACAGTACTTCCCAGTACTACATCGTACTACAAAGCTTGCACAAAGTACTTCCCAGTACTACTTCATACTACAAAGCTTTCACAGAGTACTTCCCAGTACTACTTCTTATTACAAAGCTTGCACAAAGTACTTCCCAGTACTGCTTCGTACTGCAAAGCTTGCACAAAATACTTCCCAGTATATAATACTTCGTACTGCAAAGCTTGTACAAAGTACTTCCCAGTACTACTTCGTACTACAAAGCTTTTACACACAGAAGCTCTTACACAGCAAAGCTTTTACACACAGAAGCTTTTGCACACAGAAGCTTTACACACAGAAAAGCTTTTACGCAGCAAAGCTTTGACACACAGAAGGTTTTGACACACACACAAGCTTTTAGACCGAGTTGCTTTGTCACACAGAAGCTTTCACACAGAGAAGCTTTTAGACACAAAAGCTTTTGCACACGCAAGCTTTTACACAGAATAGCGTTTACACACAGAAGCTTTTACACAAAGAAGCTTTTGCACACCCGAGCTTTATACACAGAAAAGCTTTTACGCAGCAAAGCTTTTACACACAGAAGCTTTTGCACACAGAAGCTTTTGCAGAAAAAAGTGTTTGACACAAGAGCTTTTACACACAGAAACTTTTAGGCACCAAAGCTTTTACACACAAAAGCTTTGACATACAGACGCTTTTAACACGCAACAGCTTTTACACAGAGAAACTTTTACACACAGAAGCTTTTACCACACAGAAACTTTTACAAACAGAAGCTTTTACGCACAAAAGCTTTTACAAACAAGAACTTTTTCACACAGAAGCTTTTACCACACAGAAGCTTTTACAAACAGAAGCTTTTACACACAAAAACTTTTACAAACAGAAACTGTTATATACACAGCAAAGCTTTTACACACAGAAGCTTTTAGACCGAGAAACTTTGTCACACAGAAGTTTTCACACAAAGAAGCTTTTAGACACAAAAACTTTTACTCACAGAAGCTTTTACACAGAAACGCATTTACACACATAAAATTTTACACACAGAAGCTTTCACACACAAAAGCTTTTACACAGAAAGAGTTTTACACACAAAAACTTGTACACACAGAAACTCCCGCACTGTCAGAGAAACTTTCACTCAGAGGGGCTTTTACACAGAAATTGCCGCTCCAAAACCGGATCTCAGCGCCAAAGGAAAAAAAGATTTTGAAACACTTTTCAAAAGGAATCTTCACAGGAAATCACCAGCCCCAAATTGAGAAAATCTGCTGACAAGTCACTATCGCAACCTTGACATCTCTAATCTCTCCACATTCCTACTCTCATCCACCTCTAATCTCTCACATCCCTACTCTCTCCACACCTCTACTTTTTCCACATTTTGCAAATTCGTACAGCGGAGTTTAGACTACTAAACTTCCTTTGATAAGGTGGGCAAAGCAATAATAAACCACCCATTTGGGAATGGTTTATACCGCCTATTTATGGTGATTTGGGGGATGGTTTAATATTGTTTGACCATTTTCGGGATGATTACTCTCTGGTAAACTAACAGTTTGCGAACAAGAAAATCACCATCTTTATATAATAGGTCGGTCAATCAACTATTTGTGGGCCATTTTCAATAGGTAGGTTAAATTACCAGAGGGTATAGAAATGGGGGGTTCCATAAATGCAGGTAGCTCCAAATGGATGGTTTATAATGGTATTTAAACGGATGATTTAGGGGTACCCCTATTTTAGGAAACCTCCAAATTGGGATAATTGGTTTTATATATAATTGCATATATGTATACTTGTATATACAATATATAGAATATGGCTATATAATAATATGGATATACCATGGTTTATTGCGGACAAACCAAGTAACCAACAAACCAACTAACCCTCATGAATATTGGATCCATGTGATTGGGTTTATCATTCGCTTTACATCAGTCTCATATGAAGAATGGAATGTATATGGATATTAAGTCAAAATATTTGTTAATCATGGTGGTTGAATGAATATTAATTAGGAACGAGGCAAAGACAATAATAACCCAATCATATCGATGATGGTGGGTTAATGACTAATGGGACATAATGGGACATAATGGGACATAATGGGACATAATGGGACATAATGGGACATAATGGGACATAATGGGATATATAGTCTATATAGTTGATAATATTTGTGGGATTTTTATGGGATAATGAATAAACTGGGAATATCATGGTTCACGGTAACTAAACAACCATAAAGTGACTGAGAATATGGGTTATTAAAGGTTGACAATGATAAGACGTTATAAGTTTAATATGATAATGGTGGTTCAATGGAAATCTGATGGCATATTATCGTTCATAGCTGACCAACTAACCACAATCAGCCCCTTGTTGAACAATGAGGCACACCCAACAATAAACCCACCAATCCTCACATCAGGGTTGGTGATTTGAGAGATCGCTTCAGTTTCAGCCCAAGTCAGGGAAACCGATTCCCATCACAAACTTGTCGGGTGAAGTGAGCTCTCCCCACCTTTGTTGGTTCCTCGATGCGCCAGGAGTTTCCTGGCGGACACTCACTGTGGAAGCATGGCTTTGCATCTCTCATCGAATATCTCAGCACCCGAAGCTGAGCATCAGACCATATCAGACCCCCCGCACTTTTTATGGGGTGATCCCTGGAAATGATGGGTAAACATGATGAAAAAAACATGTTTGATCAAAATGGTACAAGTGGTTTGGTGAACTTTGGTCAACCTGGTCAAGGGTAGTTGCAGAGAAACCGCTGGAAAAAAACGACCTTGGAAAAGTGGCACTAGCATCATGAGGAACTCAACCAAGTCAATAAATAGCTATGTAAGATGGGTCCCCGGAACGATAGACTTGGTTTACAACTAGGTGGATTCTATAGTTTGTGGTAGATATGATGAGCTAGTTCATGGGGGTCATTAACCAAAATTCGCGTCACTAGGGGGGCCCAGCTTGTATGCATTGGGGGGGACTGACCCGGGTTTGTTTTCATCTAAGTTGGCCGAAAAAGAAACATGGGAAAACACCTTGACTTGAGCCTCGAACCCAATTGGAAGTTTCCTAAAATGGGGATACCCCCAAATCATCCAAAATTCGACCATTTTTGTATTGAACCTATGGTTTTGGGGATCCCCCATCCTTAAGAAACACCCAATTGTGAAGCAACTTTGACCATCCGGGAACCCAAACAATATGCAGCTGAAGGTCTCAAAGCTGTCTATGGAATCCCCAGTGACTAGCGGGGTGCCTTTGAAAAAAATGGCCACCGCGACCCCCATGGGTAGCAGCTAACCTAATCGTCCCATGGTCAAATTGGACGATCAGGTCATGGAATCAATGTGATTTTGAATGCCCGGGTGGTGCGCATCTCACACTGCGAAACGAAGGTGTCGATTCAACTGGAGAATGGACATTGCCATGAAGCAGATCATTGCATTTGTACCTTGGTGACCTTATGATCTCGTTTTGTTCGGAGTAAACCATATAGGTTTTCCTGGCTTGTTTCTTAACTCATCTTCCACCAATATCATCAACGTTTTATTTCTTAATTAAGGGGCACGTAGGACCAGCCATATTTTGCACGTAGACTTGCTTCTTCGTGCATCACAAGGGTGGGGGGGTTGTGGGGGCAATACCGTTCCTCTTTTTCGGCCCTGAACTGTGTTCGTTCCAGATCCATGCCAGGGATTCTGTAAGCGCAAGGGCCCATATGACAATTTGATGTGGCAGACCCGCACACTGGCGATGCCCCAAGGGTTGCTGTTGTTGCCCAGAATGTTGCCCGCTTGCTCTGCTGCTGCTGCTGCTGTTGTTGTTGTTGTTGCTGGAGCTGCTCCACAAATATTCCACTGACGCCGCGCATGTGTGAAGAATGGTTTTTGCGACCCGTTTGCATGGAGGGAACAGCAAACTGAAATTGAAGAGGAGCGGCAAGAGTGCAAGAGCTCCACGCTAATGCTCAGCCGCTCAAAGTATCAACAACCTTGCAGCGCTGCAGAAGACGCGTGGAAGCATACCGATCTTGCCCAAGATGTGGAAGCATTGCAGCAACAGAAGCAGCACCATTTACACATGGCAGACAAGCAAGGCGTGCGGCAGCCCCTAAACCATGGCAGGGATCCAAAGGATCCAACCATGGTTGGCATGCCGTGGGGCCCTTGCCATGACCCAAACTTGTATGGCAACTACCCTGCACTGCTGGCAGCTTTGCAGCGCAGAATGCAAAGAACATTGCCATTTGGAAATGCCCCCTCGGCAGCTAGTCAAAGAGGCACAGACCAACCAAGCTGCGCAAGCTGGTGATGCCTGTGACTATCAAAACAAGCGGCTGCCCATCGGAGTGCACGAGGTGAAGCAATGGATAAAAGGGCAAAAAGCGCCAGAACATTCTTCCGGCCGCAGCCTCTTTTGTTAGCAAAATTTGTGGGCCGCAACCGCTTTGTAGCGGCCATTGCAAGTGATGTTGTGCATGTAAACCATCATCCTCTGGCATTCTTCATATGTCTTAGACACGGACCTATCCATATCCATTTGACTTGTGCCCCGCACTTTTTGATGGTCAAATCAGTTCATTTATTAAAATCATGTTAAACCATGTTAAATCCTCATTATTTAATGCTCATGGATTCCATTTTTTCTAGGTGAATCTTTACGTTTTTTGAAGGGATGGCTGGAAGATAGCAGAACCTAACTTATTCACTTAGTCCTGGTAGATCGGGAAACCCCGCACGAAAATTGTTTTTCGACTGAGGAATAAACTAGTTTTTGCCAGCTTGTTTTGGGCCATGTATTCTTAGAATTTTCGACAACCCCCCCTGGGGGATTTCTTTCTCCAAACCTTTGTTGTTCCTAATGCTGGTAATCTTTCTTGTTGCAGGGATTTTCAGCATAAAGTTCTTACATCTTATCGAAAAAACATTTTTTGTTTTTCCACCCCGCCCTCTGAAACAAGAAACTCTGAGCAAGAAAACCTCAAACTTCAAAGATCGAAACTTTGGGGCCGGCAAAACGTACAGTTCGCAACTGGCTTCTAGTTGAGGAAAAAAATTGGGATAGCTTGGGAATGCTTGGGAAAGCCTTACTTTTGAATGCCCTCAAGGGGAACAAACCAGGTACCATCCCATTGGGTGTGCTGAAGCGAGACCATCCCATTCTCTTTGACCCAGCGTTGCCCGAAAGCAAGCTGCGGTCCATCAGCAGACTGGGCGTTGGTACCATGGAGAAGGTGGCTTTGCGCTTTCAGGACATCTGGATGGGGTCGATGGTCGTCCCCAAGTATGTGAAAAACCAGGACTAAGAATCCACCAGTTTTAGTCACATCCCAAGAAAGGGTACCGTTTTGTTCATTGATGAGCAGGGCGCATGTATAAATAAATAAATAAGCAAATAAATAAATAAACGCATAAATCAATAAATACATAAACATATACATATATATATATATATTATATATATATTATTTGTATTTATACGCATACATTTGCATATACATATAGTATTCACATACATTACATTACATTACAATTATATATATATAGCAACATATTTATAGATACATACATACACCCATGATTATTTCCCATGTATGTTGGCCAGATACCCATGAGCATCCCACATTTCGTGAGAATCCCACTTTTTTTCCTCCTATGTCAGTGATGTTTTCACAGATTTCTGCCAGGATTGCTTCTGGGAGCAAGGCTCACCACACTCACCACCCGAAGCGCTGCATTGCATTTATCGCAAACCCACCACTGAAGGCCGACGTCAAGCTGGAGCTATGGAGGTGTGACGACCGGTTTTTTGCTTGTTGGTACCCGAACACTGTGCCAGATGATTTCTGCCAGAATATATGTCAGAGTCAAAATATATGTCACATAGAATGTCACTTCTATAATATCAGATTATATGCCAGTTTTTTTTGGTCAGAATGTATGTCAGATATAATATCAGAATACATGTCACATAGAATGGCAGAATATACGTCAGATTGTCTGTTGGTGGGTCGAAGAGAGTAACTTGGATTTATCCACAGTTATTGTTGGCTACTCTGTTTTCAAATCATCATGTCATCCCCTGTTGTCAGTAGCCACCAAATTTGGTTCAGTGCCACACCAAAACGGAGTTTTTGCAGGTGAAATTACCATGCTCAACCCATTTGATGCCAACCTGAATGCTTTTCCATCTACGGAATCCTTGTGCCCATGAGCCACCTATCCTTAGGCAAATCACAGCCGCAAGAGCGAGACTTAGGTGCTTCATTTCTGTTAGTTATATCACCAGTTCTGCTGCTTGTCAAAGGCACGCTTTTCCCTAGTTCTTCACCAATCACCTTCCACATTTCTTGTTGTTGGGTTACATCTCTACTGTAGGATTATGATCCGCATATCCCGTCCCCTTTGTTTCTGAAATCATGCTGAACCCCGTGAAAAACCAGGCGCCCTACTTTGTGAGTCTGAAACCGGTCACCTCCTCCAACACTTTGGTGGCCTACTACGTCACGGATGGGGCACGAGAACTGGCCAGTTTGGAAGCAGCGGAACGGGTGAGGCACACCCTGCAGTTGCTGTGCACCATGTTTGGGCCGCTGGAACCCACATCCCTGGAAGAAAAGTTGCTGGAAACTCAGTTGAGTGGATAAGAAAAACGCCTTGGGTGATAGGGTGTGGGTGTACTATATAAGTGTATGTAAACAAATTATGCAATTTATAAGTGAACTAAGCCCCTTTTACTAACCACCTACTCCACCAAGTGGGGCACTTCGGTATATCGACAGGATGCATGTTATGGACGCCGGTGTACCTTCTTGAACACCCAGCAGGATGGGGGCCGGTGATCGCAAAAAAAAATCAGAAGATGATTTCGACCCAGACCCATCTTGTTACCCTCTGGTTAGTTGATTTACCTATTAAACATGGTGATTTTCCATAGTTATGTTAGTTTACCAGAAGGTATACATTTTCTTTAAGATATTGTTGTCGGGGGTATTCCCCCATCCTTTGATTGCCTGAAACAATCACTTAAGTGAGTCATTCTGCGGAACCGAGGAAGCCAAATGCACGTCATGGACTCTGGATGAGCAGTCCCTGGGAGCTTATTCCTTCAATGCGACTGGCCATGAAGCTTCAAGTGGCTAGGGTTGAAACATCGCCCAAAAGGACCCACAAACTTGGTTCCGGCACCAATAGCGGCCCATGCTTTTTAAAGGTTCTATTTCTTGGATTTTTCATGGATATGCTCAAAACTGTGGTGGCATCGTGAATTCAATGATTTCCATTTTTTCCTTTGAATTGGAGTTGTCATTTTGTCTCACGTTACGATAGAAAACTACAGAAAACTATCAATTCATTGAGTTCTATGGGTTCAAACATTCTTCAAACCTGGATTTCAAACATGTGTTTTGCAATATGCCTTTCGCGCCCTTGTTTCCAGCCTCATCGTTTGCGTCGGTTTGGCCAGACTTTGCTTCAAGTCTTTCTTGTGGTTGTACCGCCAGGCAAAAGACCATACACATGTTTGAATCCTTTCGCGGTCTCGTTTTGTTTTCTTGTCTTTGGTCTAGAGAGAAAGAGGAACGTAGCGTTTCACTTGACGCCACCTGGTCAAGGGTTTGGGTTCCACTCGATTTTAGTGAATTTCATCTGTAGTGGATCACATTGTAGAAGCATCACCATGCACGTAAGATCTCATCAGCGTAGCCCCTTCCCGCACCCCCCATCCTGCCCCACCCAGATCCCCACCCAGTTCCCCACAACAATCACATGGTTCCCTCCTGGTAATTCCCCCCTGGTAATTCGTGCACGACTTGTAGCCAACGCGCACAACTTCTAACTAACGTGCACAAACTTCGAACCAAGGCGCGCAACTTCCAAGTAAGGTGCACAACTCAAACTAACGTGCTGCATGAGCAAGAAACAGCGAAAACTGGGGGTCCGTTTATAGCGCCGGTAACACAAACTTGGCCTAATGATAGCTAAGTTGGTATCTAACTTGGTTCATTGGGGTTCATGTGGGATATACATGGATATACTGTAACTGTAGTCAACGGTTTTTTTAAGCAAACAAACGTAAGTGGGGGGGTGTTGAATTCAAACATCAATCTTTGACGTCAAGGATTTTGGAGCCCCAAATGGTTATGACATGGAAGCTCAGGACCTTAGATCTCGTGATGGCGTAACTTGTTCCTTCAACCATGGATAAAACTATCCATTGTACCCTCTGGTAATTTAACATAGCTATTGAAAATGGCAATTTTTCATGGGAAAATCCACTACAAATGGCCATTTTCAATAGCTATGTTAAATTACCAGAGGGTAAGTAAGTGGGCTCCTTACTGCACTTTTCAAAAATCATGGCTGGTACTTGGGGGTGCATTTCCCGGCTAGTAAAGTGGATACACCGCAGTACTTGACAAAGTTATCCCAATTTATAGGGCCGAAATCACAATGCTTATACTGTGGGATTGGAACCATGGTAAGTGATCAATTTCGAAGTGGGAAGATCCTGAGTTGTAGATTCCAGAAGTCACATATAAATCATATAAATCATATAAATCCCACTATTCTTCTTGCTTAAATAATCTTAAATCCAGTTTTTTTGGTGAACTCCGATGAAGTCATCACCATTTTTGCTGCCAAACTCCCCTGACCGCCTGGCCGCATTTCGTGTTTTTTGTTCAGGCCGTTGGTAGCTCCTCCCGTGACCGCCTGACGTTGGCTTCACCGCTGGGAGCCTTGCACTTTGCCGGCGAAGGCACCAGCGAGACATTTCCGTCAACAGTGCATGGGGCACTGCTGTCCGGCCGCCGAGCCGCCTCGGAAGTGGTCGAAAAAAAACATCGGCAGCTGGCGAGCGGATGGCGTGGGCGGATTTTCGTTGCCGGTGGCATCAAACATGGCTCGAAAATCTTCTTAAACCATCGAAAATCATCTTTAACCTGACATTTTCAAGTGCCATGTCTGATTATCGGAGGGTATATGAGATTTATGATAGATGAGGCATTTGTGGTTCATGATAGGTTCAAAGTACTATGCCAACGGCTGAGAGATGTTGCTTTTTGGGGGCCAGGAAATGGGGGAACACAAATACTGGATTAAGGGGTTCCATTAACTAAACATCCCATCCATCGTAGACATAGAGGAATTATTAATGGATTCAATATAGATATAGAAGGAATATTGAGGGAATGTTAATTCTATGGGAATTTCAGGGCCCTAAGTATAAGGACCGTAAATTAAGGCTTCATATCCTCTAATAAATCGCTGAAATTGCCAGCGATTCATTTGGGTATATGATAGTGACCTCACGTCGTGACTGAACCCTGGAGTCATGGTGAGTAAGGGGAATCATCCCCGGCCCAACATTTCAGGTTAGTGATATATTCTCATTTGGGCAGATTAATGGACTTCTTCCAAGTAGATATAGAGATTCAGGATGGTGCCCATTCATAAGTTGGTTTATAACCCCCATGAATACCATAGTTACCATTACATTATCTATTTGGCTTGATATCTGGTTTTATGATTACAATTTCTATAAGTTATACTTAAGTTAGTTTAATATCTACCATAAACCATATATTAACTAGTTCGTTATATCTACCATAAACATCCATAAACCCTAGTTGGGTTATAAGTATATCCAGTAATCCAGTTATATCTAACATAAACCATATATATATATTTCCCGGATCCCCATATTTTCATATATTTTCCTGACTAAATTCCCTATTAAGTTCCTATAATCATCAACCAAATGATTGTTAGTATAATCTATATCGAGCAATATCTACCATCAAACCATAGTTAAGCCACTAATAGTAGGGTAAACCTCCAATATTTAACATAGTACCTTAGATTGGGATTATATAAACCAATTTATAATCTCCACCATAAACCTCTCTACTATGTAATATAGATATAATAACAATAGGTAACATTTGGATATTAACAATATTGGATATTGGGACATTAGGTAATACTAAACTAACTATAGCTAACACTATACTGGTTGGTGGTTTCAAACATGGCTTTTATTTTCCATAATATATGGGATAATGCTTCCCATCGACGAACTCATATTTTCAAGATGGTTAAGTCACCACCAACCAGTATAGTTAATCCATCATAAATGTCATAACTTTGGTATATGGAATGAATATCCATAAATATCCATAATAAGCAGATACATATCCATCAGAAATGGGGGAACAGTATCATCTCCAGTTCTTTTGTTTCATGGTCAACAGCAACACTATCATAACCATGGTAATACTAAACTAAGTTTAGCTAACACTATATCCAATTTATGAACTAACTATAGCTAACACTAACTAATTATAGTAACTATATACACCTTAGGCACCATAATCACCAGATAAATATCCATCATATCCAGAAAAATATCCATTATTATAGACTCTTAGTGTTACCATGGACATAGCTAACACTCTAGTTAACATCCATTAATATCAACTAACATCCATTGATATCCATTAATATCCATTAATATTTATCATAACCATGGTAATACTAAACTAACTATAGCTAAATAACCATCAATATCCATAAAAAACCACAAATTTCCATACATAACCAAACAATTTCCATATATAGCTAACAAAATATCCATAAATACCCAGTATTATAGACTCTCAGTGTTACCATGGATATAGCTAACACTATAGTTAACATCCATTAATATCAATTAACTATAGCAAACTATAGCTAACACTATAGCTAACTATAGCTAACACTATAGCTAATAACCATAATTTTCCATATATAGCCAGCAAAGTATCCATAAATATCCAGTATTATAGACTCTCAGTGTTACCATGGATATAGCTAACACTATAGTTAACATCCATTAATATCAATTAACTATAGCTAACTATAGCTAACACTATAGCTAACTATAGCTAACACATAGCTAACACTATCGCTAGTAACCATAATTTTCCATATATAGCTAACAAAATATCCATAAATATCCAGTATTATAGACTCTCAGTGTTACCATGGATATAGCTAACACTATAGTTAATATCCATTAATATCAATTAACTATAGCTAACTATAGCTAACACTATAGCTAACTATAGCTAACACTATAGCTAATAACCAAAATTTTTCATATATAGCCAGCAAAATATCAATAAATATCCAGTATTATAGACTCTCAGTGTTACCATGGATATAGCTAACACTATAGTTAACATCCATTAACTATAGCTAACTATAGCTAACACTATAGCTAACACTATAGCTAGTAACCATAATTTTCCATATATAGCCAACAAAATATCCGTAAATATCCAGTATTATAGACTCTCAGTGTTACCATGGATATAGCTAACACTATAGTTAACATCCATTAATATCAATTAACCAAAAAATACTCATATATAGCTAACAAAATGTCCATATATAGCTAACTAAATATCCTTAATAGACCTTAGGTTAGAAATTTCGAAATTTCGAAGGTGCCCGAGCTCCGCGCGGAGCTTCGGGCCCTGGGCTTGGACGACCAGGGCGTGCGACGGAGCCTGGTGGAACGTGCCGCGGCGGATGGCTAGAAGATGGGGAATTTTACGGCGATGGATGGGGGAAAATATGGGGAAAACCATGGAAAAAATGAGAAAAACATGGGAAAAACCATGAGAAAAGATATGAAAACTATGATATAACCATGAAGTTTATAGACAATGATGATTATAGATGATTATACATTGGACATATATGGGCTTTGTCTGAACGGGGAAGATAGGAAAACAGCCTATAAATCCAGTTAGATTTTCCAGCTGCCCATGTTTGATTTTCCACCGTCGGGTCTACTGCGAATATGTGAAGAATCTTTGGGGCATATTAAAAATGAAGGAATAGCAACTGAAGATTTAATTCCTAAGGTTTTTTTTGGTCACATGGGTCCGTTTTTGAACTATGAACCATCAAACATATTATCATAATGACGACGACGACGACGAGGATGATGATGATGATGATGATGGTGATGATGCTGATGATGATGATGAAGAAGAAGATGATGATGATGGTGATGATGATGATGATGATGATGATGGGTGCAAAATACGGGGTGGGATTTCATCATCACTAACTCACCATCATATCACTCAACATGATGACATGACAAGGAAAATTATGATGAACAAAGTGGGGAGAGAGCGGTTGATCCTGTGTGATTCACTCACCTGGTTTATTGGAGGTTGTAGATTATAGCGCCCTCCAAAACGGCAGAAACATTGGACACTTGGAAATTCAGGGGAAAACATCATCTATACCATCCTGACGTATTTTACAAAGGGGGTTATATCCCATGGGAACACCAAACAAAATATCAAGGATCGCAGATCCATTTGTCGCCGGGATGATGATCGTCATTGAGTTGCAATCTTTGACGACTTCTTAAGGATGCAGAAGCTGCTGACAAAACAACCAAAAGATGACCCAACACCTTTGTCGATGCCGTTGTCTGGCCAAATCTCAAAGTCTTCAAGCAGGAAGTAGGTCGAGATTTTATCAAAGTTGACGGGTGTGTCTTCAACATGTGAAGACGAAACATGCTTAATGTTCCCCCCAAAATGGATGGTAATAATCTGAACATGTTTAATGTTTCCACTATGTTCCATCAGCCATGTGGTGGTTCCAGCCCATCATCATCGGTATGAGGTACCCCAAAATGCTTCAACAGATTTTGACATCTAATTTTCCATCATTTTGTATCTCCTAAATCAATAACGAAAATCATAAGACCTAAGAACTGGTTGGCGGTTTGGAACATTAATTTTATTTTTCCATTCAGTTGGGAACAATCATCCCAACTGACTTTCACTCCATCATTTTTCAGAGGGGTAGGGCTCAACCACCAACCCGATGATGATTAACCATCATTAACCATTAATAACCATCATCATTAGCCATATACTTACCTTTAAGCACCAAGTTTTTTCCGCCTTTTTCATCATCAGCCGTGCCGCCTTTTTCCAAGGTTTACTTGCTGCAGTTGCGGGTGCATCCAAGGCCGCCAGGGAAAATCCAGTTGAAGGCTCCAAATTCCGAGACGATATCAGAGCTTTCAATGGGAAAATCTATAGGAACAAATGGGACAATCCACGATAAAACATAGTGATTTATAGTGATTTAATGGGATTTAATTGGATTTTATAGTGATTTAATGGGATTTAATGGGATTTAATGGGATTTTATAGTGTTTTAATGGGATTTAATGGGATTTTATAGTGTTTTAATGGGATTTAATGGGATTTTATAGTGATTTAATGGGATTTCATGGGATTTTATAGTGATTTAATGGGATTTCATGGGATTTTATAGTGATTTAATGGGATTTCATGGGATTTTATAGTGATTTAATGGGATATTTTCACGGGATATACCCTCTAAACATCGAAAAAGCTGTTGAAAATGGCCCATTGAGTCCGTTAATTTACACATGTTCATAGCATGGTGATTTTCCAGTTCACCATGTAAACGTTTACCAGAGGGTATAAAACCTTGTCCTTGATGGAAGTCCAAGCTGGCATGGCATCTCTTGGCGCCATCATTGCTGTGGTACCTACCCGATATTTAGGGATGGCTTGATCATTGGGGAGCACGGTGAAGTCATATAAACTAAACATGGAAATATGGAGGTTTTAATGGGAAAATCATCGAACTATTTTTTTTTGATCTTGCAGCAAGCCATGTTTGATGACGCCAGAGGGTAATCATCCCTATGAATGCCACAGGAATGGGTATCCAGCCGTAGAGTTCATGGGGTTCTTGATGTTTCGGAACATATTCACAATATCAAACAATAGAAACAACACAGCTTTTTGGATGTCTTCGGGAGACCTATGGCAAACTTAGTGAGAGATAGTAGGACAACTCCACACATCAAACCGTAGACATGGGAACTAACGTTAATGTTCTAGAACAGGGGGATTATATAGATATTATATAGATAATTTCCAACTACAGTAACTGCTATGAACACATGAAGTGGATATTTCAAGAGTGTTTTCTGCATTTTTTTCAGCCACAGTGATTTTTCGATTTCACAGGGGCTGTGAGCCACTAGCCTTCAGACCGACCCATCCCTGATGTACGTTTTAACTGATGAGAGAATGACCGGCCAGTTAGCTTCCCCAGTTTTTTGTGTTTTAGATGGGATAACGTTACCCCAGGATTACATAATAACATATAATAACCCCACAGTCTCTAGTGGCAAAAAATATCACTCTTTGCTGTCGATTTGACCGACCGTTGCAGGAAAAATCTGCCTTCAAACGAAGGTAATCTAAGGTAGATATTCAAACAATGATGGTTTCCCAAGAAAACATATTTATATACATTTCTGATGGGTTGTCCGTATATGTTAATGTACTGGAGAGTGTTTAGACACACCAATTTCACATTGTTGGTTGTATGTATGTATGTATATATATATACATTATATCGCGATTATATCATATTATATCCCATTATACTGTATCCTCATTGCATACAGTACTCAGTACCATTTGTTCATATCAGTTCTAACTTGGTTTTGTTGTAAGTTAGAAGTACCGGTATATCTTTTTTTTTTTCCGTTATGTTATCTCCCTATATCCCAATATATAAGATATCCAAGTATACAAGTATATTATGTTCCATTTGTTGCAATATCATATGCTGCTTGGTGGTTCACCCCAGGAGTCTTACGGAGGGTTGGGACACCCCAGTCATAACTGGACATTGCCCCTACAGCTTCCGATTCCTGGGTAACTTGGATGTGTGCCCACGAATCGGATCCGTGGTTTATAAGTCATGTATAACCCATAGTTCATCCTATATACTAGCTGGGGGTTATTCCATGAATCTAACTGGGCCACCCCAAGAACTAACTGGAGGCAACGGACCCCGCTACGGTCGGCGGCGATGGCGGCGATGGGGCGGCGATGGTGGCGTTTGTGGTGAATGCGAGCGTCGGGCATATGGCAGGAGGGCCCAAGGGGCCAGGAGTCATCTCTGGGTTGGGATTTTTATGAGCAGTGTCAAAAACTCATTGGTATATTGCTCATATGGATTTGAATAAGGCATAAACATCCCGCCGGACCGGAAACCGTTCCCATAAAACGCACATTTTTTAAAAAATGTGATTTTACCACAGTGCCGTGCTAATTTGATGATTGGAAATCCTGGAAAAACTTGGGGCGCGTTTTTTTCGTTTTTCAGCGTCATCGCTGCAACGCATGCGTAGTAAACAGCTGGCAGTCAGCATTCTTGTGAATGCATCTCCATTGCCAAGCTCTCAGAGATCTCAGAGATCTCAGCAGCGTAGCAACATGTATGTAACGTAGTAAACGATCCCAGAGATCTCAGCAGCGTAGCAACATGTAACGTAGTAAACGATACCAGAGATCTCAGCAGCGTAGCAACATGTAACGTAGTAAACGATACCAGAGATCTCAGCAGCGTAGCAACATGTATGTAACGTAGTAAATGATCCCAGAGATCTCAGCAGCGTAGCAACATGTATGTAACGTAGTAAACGATACCAGAGATCTCAGCAGCGTAGCAACATGTATGTAACGTAGTACACGA